TTTCACTCTTTTTTTTTGTTTGTATCACTTTTTCATCTTTCATAATACAGTGATAGTTCATATTAATTTGTTAAAGCCCAGCAGGATATTTCTAAAATGCATAGTAGAATTCATACAGTGACCCAGTCATGTGTCATAGAGATGTCCCCAGTGTATTTGTTTTAAGAAGTCTGGATCAGATAGAGTGTACCGAATGATGGACCAAACACATTGTTCTTCAGATATGCATCATAGTAATCATCAGCTTTACTCGCTCCCAGCATCTGTGGCTACTGAACGATAGCTGCAGGGGGCTTTTTTCTATTATCCATTGTTAGTTTCACAAAACTCAAGCCGTCATATAATTTTAATCATGTTCCACTGAAGTTATGAGGGTCTCCGTGGGAGGTGATATGTGTGAAGTTGTATATATGTGAGATACAGGGGTTGGTTTTCTTCTCTGCATGTAAGGGCTTGTTGGAGCACATTGGTGGTGCAGTGAAGTAAAATACCGGAGGTATAAATTATGTTCAAAAAAGCTTGCATGTCCTTAACCAGCGGGAAAATGTGGAAGTTCACCCAAAAATACAATTTTACTCACTATTTATTAATCCTCATTTCCCAAGTTGTTCCAAACTTGTATGGGTTTCTTTTAGGGGTGGGCGATTTGGCAATTTTGAAAATCAAAACCTTGATTAATTGAACATTTTAACTCTATTATGATTAATGAACAATTATTTTATTCATTTATACATTTTTTTGCCCTCATAGTTCACTGACAGGTTTTGTACAGTAAATATGCACACATTACAAGTGAGAGATTGAATGAAGGGTGCATTACTTGACATTAAAATTATTGAAGAAAACACGCGCTATCTACTGTCTGATTATTTATTGAACATCAACGCTGAACAACTGAAATTAAAACACTTATTGCTTAAAACCAACAGTCACATTGTTCTTATAAAAAAGTGAAAATAAATAACTTGCACATTTGGAAACAAAATATTTTTTATGTTTTTCACATCAAAAGTAGAAAATAAACAGAATTTATCTCTTTTAAATAAAATAGCAGAATGTAATGGAAAATATGCATTCTCATGCATGTCTGCCTCAGCTTCCAATCATCATCAATGTAATGCAAAGTATAGCTCACAAATGAGTCCATCGTCCTACTTAACTACAGATCAGATGTGGCTGCAAAGTGCTAAACATTTTTCAGTACAGCAGCTACATTTTTACTCGTCTTGTACATGAGCAGGGTCACATAACTCCACACAGGGTAGGGAAGGTAATTGGAAAAAAAAATCAACCTGAAAATATTTAATTGATTATAGGTTCTGAATGTCGATTTAAATTACTTTTCATTTAATTGCCTAGCCCTAGTTTCTTAGTTTTTTTAAACAAAAGAATATATATTGAAAAATTGTATGTAAACAAATGGTCCCCATTGACTTCCATCAACTTTTTTTTACTATGGAATCAAATTGGTTACATCAGCCAGTGTGGTTATCATGTCCTTCTGAAAATGTTGTTTTGTTTCAGCAGAAAGTGGTTTTCATTTTTGGTTGAACTATGCCTTTAAATATTTTAACCAAAGGATTTTTAAATGTCCCTTTCAAGTAAATGTTTTTTGAAAAACTGACTTTTTATTATTTCATAGCAGGACTAAATTACATTTTTAAAATATGCATGATTTAACTAATGTACTGTATTTATAAGCTATGTTGCATTTAACTAATGGGATGCTTTAGATTGTATAAAGATAATACTGAAGTAAAAAAAAGAAAAAAAAAACCTGTTGAAAGAAAAATAAATGGTAAAAAAATTGTGCTGAAACCCTATTGTAATAGTTAGAAAAGACCAAAGATTACAGCTTTGTCATAAAACTGATTGTGCACACCAAACCATAAGTTACAGAGATTTGAAACTTTCCAAAACTTAAAAATTGCCATACATTGTTTTTGTCCAAGTTGGCACCCACTAGTGGTATTGTGAAACACAGATGCTGTAGACCAATGAAATGTCAACACTTATTTAAAACTTAAGTGCTGACTTTAATAAGCACTTATTAAAGTTTATTCAGAATGAAACTTGGTGGTCTTGTTTGACGATCGTTCTTGTGGACATAGAGGTTTTTTAGTAATTTGAAATAAATTGGCCACACACACAAAAAAGTTGACTCAATTTAAAACTGTATGGCAACTTCCTGCAGAGCTTTTTTTTAGTTGACCCGACTTAAATCGAGTCAAGTGCAGTATTTTGGTTGGAAGCCAAGTCAAAAATTCTCCTGCAAGTTTCCTAAATATTTTGAGTTGAGTCAACTTTTTTTTTTTTTTTTTTTTTTTTTTACGGTGAACTAGGGCTGACATATTGCAGTTCATAAGTGATTTTATATTGCACACAACATTCATGTCATAGGTAAACCTTTTCAATCCAAACAACTTTGCCTCAAGAAGTCTTGTAATCCACCAAATCATTTGCTAATCATTCCAAATGATTTAAACAATAAAAACAACTTCCATTTCCTAGTTTCAGTTTTTTCATAACTGTCTAAGTTCTATAGGTCAGTAATTATCCAAAAAAAAAAAATAAATAAATGAAATTATGTGTTCTAAAGAATTCTAAAGAAGCATTGTGATTATTTGAACTACATTGTAATCTATTGTAAAATGTGTATTTCAGTTTTCATGTATGTAATCAATTCATTGTTATATATTTTTAAATAATTATTGATTTGACTTTATTGACCTTGATTCTTCTGTTAAGTATGAACTGTAATCTTTTTTTTGTTTGAATCTTCTGTACTTTTGCTGTTTTTGGTTAAATGAGGCTGTGTGACGTTCACTGTAAAATGCATGAATCTCTCATCCATCATTAAACTCAAGTCTGAGGGATTTTATGATCATGTTGAGTTACACTCATGGGCTGGAAAGGAATGCCTCTAAACGAATCCTTCAAACTGTTGAATAAATTCTGAACAACGTCATATACAGTAGATCATCACTGAACCTGTCCAAACTGACAACCAATGATAATATAGTACAAAGCAAACTTGAGCTACCAATGAAAGCAGGGACATTTTTTCTCAGAGACAAGTACGTCTAAAGACATCTTGGTATTCCTGTGATTCATTTTTAATACAAATTATAAATTTATCCGTCTCCGACAGAAGTGCTTTGTTGGGATATGCAAGATTCAGTTTTAAGCCCTGAAACAATCCAAGTCTTCATGGAAAAGCCAGCTTAATCTGGAGAGCTAATTATACACTTAATAGCTGCACTGACACTTTTAATAGCCATTCCTAGAACTGAGTGTGAACAATTGTACGAAGTTTGCCAACCACACGACCACATATTCTCCCATAGATTAATAAATCCCCAAGTACGCTTGGCATCAGATTTGAGAAATTCTAATCCTATAATTCAGCTCTTTCATCTATAACAATGCTTTCTGTATCTGATGTATCTGTAGATCTGTCTTGAACAGTGCAGTAGATGATAGCTAATATACATACACAGTGGATGGGGATTTATTAGGCCTGTCTACTCTGATTTCAGTCTTTTTAAATTATTTTAGGAAATGTTCTTTTATTCATCTTTTAGCATCCATCAAACAGATTTTCTACACTTTATTCCCTCAAACACATGCATATTTTAGAAGCTGGACCATCCCCAGTCCTAGAGTGACTGTGAAACTGTTAATTGGCCAGTGCTGTCAGGACTGATGGCGGTCTTGTACTCAATTGAACTCTGTGACAGAAACAGCGGCAGGCCGGCCAACATTTCTGACCAGATGGATAATTGTTCTAATAAACAAGATGCGTATTTGTCATGTTCTGTTTGTAAAATTATTGAACATCTTTTAATTTTTATTTTTTACTGCATCAACCGAGCTTGACAGCACCATGCACTGTTTACACTGCAAAAAATGTCTTTCTTACTTAGTTTTTGTCTTGATTCTTAAAGCAGCATTTTTTAATTTTTTAATTTTTTTGCTTTGAAGTAATAATTTTACTGTGATTATTGTACTATACTACAATTAATTTACTAAAAACTAAACTATTTAGTTTACTCCATTGGCATATTATTTATCTTTTTTCAAAGAAGAACTCGTCATTTTGATGTTATATCTGAAGAGAAGACAATAATTCACTAGCCATGCATACGCACAAATGTGTGAAATGTGTATAGATGTTTAAAATAAAATAAGTCATGATTCATCAAAACTTCAATCCTAATATTAATTCTAAATGTACAAAAAAATTCAAGAACAACTTATATCTCATGTGAACAATCTTGTATAAAGGGGGCCTTATAAACATGTATAAAGACCTCTACATATGATTAGATATGTTGTTTACAGGGTGACTATAAAGTAACTTGACATTAAAAATGTATGTGAGGCAACTGTGACTGCATCTTTAGAAAGTGTACAGATATGTTTCCTAACGGTGATAAATGACCGTTCAGGCAGGATCACACAGAGTGTGTTTTTGTGGCAAGAGGCACCTTTTTTAAATGGTTTCTATTGGCATTAAATGTTTTGCGTGATTTTCATGTGCCCAGAGTGCTGCTGCACCTCGTGTTTCAACAGCGCGCTCTGTGTGCCTGCAGTTGGAAAAAGTTGCCCAACATCAGAAAATTTGCAGTCTTTTCTAGTCAACAAAAACACAGTGTTCAAACGATAATGAAGGTGTTGGTTTTAAGTTCTTTTCCTTTTTCTTTTGGTGCAATACTTGTCTCTTCTTAATTCATAATTTGTCATCTTAGAATTTTCTAAGGGCCAATGTTATTTACTCTTGTAAAAAATGCTTCTTGATTTACGAATTTTTTAATTTTTGGACTAGAAACAAGACAAAAACTCTTTCTTTTGTGGTGTACAGTTCTCCTTTTTTACAAAAAAAAAAATAAAAAAATAAACAGTTTGGAATGTCAGGTTTTAGTGTGTAGCTTTTTACATTTTTCGGGAGATTTAGGTGCAGTTTTCAGGATTTTTTTTTCTTGTTTCTCCCTTCACAGATTTTCGGCTCTTCATCATGCGGCTCTCACTGGCACTACTGACCTCTTGTCTCTCCTGTTGGAAGCACAGGCCACCGTGGACATTAAAGACAGTAATGGTGAGACACTTTATAATTTTTTCTCTCATTAATTTATTCATTTTCTTTTAGGCTTAGTCCCTTTATTAATCTGGGGTAGCCACAGCGGAATGAACCACCAACTTATCCAGCATATGTTTTATGCAGCGGATGGCCTTCCACCTGCAACCCATCTCTGCGAAACATCCATACACACTCACTCACAGTCATACACTACGGACAATTTAGCCTACCAAATTCACCTGTACCGCATGTCTTTTGACTGTAGGGGAAACTAGAGCACCCGGAGGAAACCCACGCAAACACAGGGAGAACATGCAAACTCAACACAGAACTAGGGGTGTCACAATTTATGCTCAATTTCGATTATCGAATCAAAAAATAGAATCGTCGATGCTGCCACGCCCCCATGTCACGTCAGCTTGTCTTGCCAAGCGGGAAAAAACAGGCTTGTTGAAGTGCTTGTTAAACTGCAGAAGCAGGAAACCCGTCGACAGAACTTAAACCCTCTACTCTTTCAATGAAGTGGCCGGTGCATTTTGGATTTTCAGTGAGTTATGTTGACAACGTTTGTGTTGTCGACAAAAAAAAAACACAGTTTTGCAAGCTCTACTATGTACGTATTACGTACGGTTCGTCCGATAGACAACACCGGCATCGCGATCCTCCGCCCGCCCCCGTTGCAAATCCGCTCGCGAACAGTACACACTCAGGCCCTGTTTACACTGTCTTTGTTTTTAAATGGCATTTTAGAACGACAACGATTTAACATCCACAGTGGCGTGTAGCGTTTCTGAGCAGCCCTCCTTCCTCTCTACCTCTGACACACACACACACACACACACACACACACAGACACAGACACACAGACACAGACGCACAGCCGCTCAAGACAGCAGGTTCAGGCAGTCAGGGGACTGCTTCAATCTTTCACTCACTTGTACTTAGTCATTTTAGCGAACACCTCAGATACTGTTGGCTGGTTCCTGTTGGTTGTGCGTCTTTTTTTACCGACGCCATTATAACGACACAGATCACTGCCTATTCACGAGTCCCACAGAAAAAGTGATTTACAGGTGGTAATTATGTGTGTAACTTGCCTTTATTCATTTACTGTATGATTTGTTTATGGGAAAAACAAAGACCACGCAGGTCAGGTAGTTTAAACGGTAGGCTACAAATAATTAATTGGTCATTAATTAATTAATTATTCATAATCGAAAATCGAATCGAATCGTGCCTTTAGAATCGAAAATGTAATCGAATCGAGGATTTGGAAGATCGTGACACCCTTACACAGAACGGATTATTATTTAATATTTTGCTGTTTTGGAAGATGAAAGGCATATAAAGTTTACATTTCCTCTTGATTACATCAGAAAAATTTCATTTGAATTGAGCTCCGATGAATCAAGCTCAGATGAATCGAGCTAAGATGGGCTTTTATACTCTCAAAACTAGCTTGCTGATGATAGCCTCTGTGAAATTGCATACTTATAATTGTTATAAATGTTATAAATGAAGTCAAGCCAAAGTTCACAAACTATAAGGACCCTGCCATACACCTGATGCAAAAAAGCGCAAGACGTGTATGGTAGGATTTGTTGCTACTTTCAGACCAGCGCAACTCTGATTTTTATTGTTTGCAACATTTTTTGTTTTTATTTACAATTACATCCAAAGATGCTTCTTCTTCATTTACTTTTGGTGAATGTAGCCTTGGCCAGGAAGAGTTGATGTCATCAGGCGGTACCCAATGATCATTGGGGGTTTCAACCCTAAACCGCAACACCCTCGACATTGGTGGGTCAGCAGTGGTGGCCAAATCACTGCCCATCAACTCCACCTGGCCTCCAGCTAAGCTCCTCTCTTTTAAGCTGTGCTTTTTTAGTTTATTCATGACAATTTGCGTTTGTATAATTTTGTTGTTGTTATTATTATTATTATTATTATTATTATCAGTATTATTTATTATATACGCATATTTATATTCAGTTTAATAAAAACAAGTTTAGATTTGTTAAATAGACATTTAAGAATTATCAAAATGTCAAGAGATTTAGTTGTACACATTATTTATTGCTTATATGGGTTAAACATAGATACAAATTTCTAATTTTAAAAGAAGAATTATTTTGCCAGGATAGAAAAAAAGCACAGCTTTTTTCATTACAAGTCTTGTAAAAATAATGATTTTCTGCTCCCTGCTTGTAGGTATGCGTCCATTGCACTATGCTGCTTGGCAGGGGAAGGCTGACTCTGTGCTTCTGCTGCTGAGAGCTGGAGCGTCTGTGAATGGAGCTTCACATGATGGACAGATCCCTCTCCACCTGGCGGCACAGTACGGACACTATGATGTGGTATGTAGCTCAATATTTCTACACTTTTGACCAATTTGTGGCTTTCTAGACTGACACGGGGAGGGTAATGTCAAGATTAAAATAAAGTCTACACACTAGTGTCATCATCCATTGTGTCAGAGTAGGTGTGATTGACAAGTATTGTAGTGACTTGATGTTACTGATTTAATTGGGGTCAGTTTATGGGCCAGTAATAGAAATGCCCATACAATGTGCCCAAATAGATTTCATTCCAATATCAAAGTATAATTTTATAATTGTTATATTCTTTGAAGCACAAACTTTTATTAAAAATTTTAAACTGAAGTTATCCAAATGTCAAAACTTAACAAAAATGGACAAAAAAAAAAGTCAGTTTGGTAATAAAATTAAGATTTTAAAAATGAAATCTGTCATTCCTTTTAAAATCTTTTCATCCATAACATCCCTAAAAATTATAAAAAAAATATATAAATAAAATATAATAAAAATGTATTAACTCATGGAGGTCTGGATTTGGGGTCACACTCAAAATTGAAGTGGAAAATTACACTACAGGCTTATCCAACTTTGATGTCTTTAAAACAAGTCAAAATGAGGCTTAGTAGGGTGTGTGGCCACCATGTGCCTGTATAACCTCCCTACAATGCCTTGGGATGCTCCTAAAGAGGTGGCGGATGATTTCCTGGGGGATCTCCTCCCAGACCTGGTATAAAGCCCCTGGACAGTCTGTGATGCAGTGTGATGTTGGTGGATGGAAAGAGGCATGAAGTCCCGGATATGCTCAATCGGACTGTTAAGCGTTTCCTTGAGTTTTTTTTTTTTTTTCGAGCAGTGTATCTTATAGAACCACTGTATTTACACACCACATAACACCAGAAATAATAATAAATAAACAAATAAATATTGTCAGTTGCATTTATCTATCATCAATCTGGCAACCTGCATATGCTAATATTTAGATTTTGAACTGCTGGCAGTTCATCCACTAGCAGTCAATATTACAATACCTTACCTTTGATTACAATATTATAAATATTATGAATAAATAAAATAGTAGGTTTGATTTTTCCAGCTACTGTAACTAACAAGCAATTGACACTTTTCTTTAAAAAAATGTAACAAGAGAGGCTGAAATCATTTGCCCGAAGAGAGAAATATACAAAATAAATGGCAAAAAAGGCTGAACGCAACACTTTGAAAGTGACTCAGGAATGTGGAGCGAGGCTAATCAAAATATAGCTTTTCAGGCTGTTTACAGTTTTCTGGCAGCTAGATAAAAAGGATGCATAGTGTTTTATGTTCTCTAAAGGAAAAAGAAGGAATATCCAAGACATGTCGCAGCACGCTCAAGGCAAAAAAGAGAGGTCCCTCGCAAATATAGCATTACCTTGCAGGTCTTTGTTTCCTAACAATGCATTTTTTTAGTTTACCTCGCTGTCTATATAATACCTCTCAAAACTAGGTTAGACTGACCATTTGGCTTAAAATGGAGAGTATTCCCTTTCCAAATGTTCAAGCCTTTATTACAAAACATGTCACTGGATATACTGTGTGTCTTATAACGTAATCATTTACAAAGGATCAACAGTATTTCTTTGGCCCTTCCCTTTTAGTCCTTGACCTTTTTGGATGCTATTTCAGCTTTTAGAATGACTAAAACCGATATGGCTTTTGACGTTGTCTTCTATTGTGTAAATCCCAGTCAGCTCATGCAGCCAGACATCTTTTCTGGCCTTTCACTAAATTCACTGCATGTTTCTGTTTTTCCATCTCAGTCTGAAATGCTGCTACAGCATCAGTCCAACCCTTGTACTGTCAATAAGGTGAAGAAGACCCCTCTAGACCTGGCTTGCGAGTTCGGCAGACTCAAGGTGAGCCGTGTGGAGTGTTTTTCTCAATAACAACAAAAATATGATCTGTTGTGACCTTACAACTTAGCTTACTGCTATTCCACTTCCCTGGAATTGATTTTTGCTGTTCAACTCTAGAAAAATAATATACTGTATTAGCTACAGCAATGTGGTGTGGCAGGAAAAATCCAAACATAATACAATTAATAATACTTTTGCTGCTCGCACAATACTGACACACAATTTCAAACAGAATGCTTAGGAATTAAAGGACTTTATCAGTCCTTAATTAATGATATTGTTATTAGAGATGTAACAATTCACTGTGAGCCGATTGAAAATCGTTTCAAATATGTGGCGATTCAAACCGGTAGAATTGTTGAACAAATCACGATACATTTTTTGAACAGAGGGGACGCTGTGTTTACAGGTGCAAACTTGCTTTACCTGCACATCAGAGGCGAACAAGAGATAGATCGGCAGAGTAAAATGACAGTGGTGAAGTGCACCAGACCAAACACAAACTGTGTGCAATTACTGTGAAAAGGCTTTTACTAACAGAAAAACAAATATGGTGCACATAAACCATCAGCACAGTGAAAAACTACTGCCTCAGACGTCTGTGTATACACACACACAAAAAAACGATTAAGAATCCAAACCATGCACACTAGATAATTTGCAGCTCTGCTTGCTCTGAAAAGTGCTATGGAGATCACACGGTGCATCAGTGTTTTCATAGCAAAAATGTAAAGATGTTTTTCAGACCAAAAGAGAAAGTTGTTCTGTTACAGAAGCAGGTATTCGATTAGGCAACACTTTATAATAACTACACACTCTGAATCATTTACTAAGCATTAGCATCTAGTGATTTCATTATTTGTTAAGCATTAACTCTGTGCAGAGTTACTGATGCTTGTCCTCTGTGCTTGTATTTTTTTTTTTTTTAGTTACTTCTTTGGTTTGATGCGTTAATCTTATTGTCACTATTATTCAAAAGAAGGTAATGATTCGCACTCGATTGCTTCATACTGTTTTTATTTTTACTTTTTCTTACATTTTACGGGTTATAACAGACGTTTCGGCACAAAGCCTTCCTCAGTATGTTAGTGTGTTAAGCATAAACTATATTAACGTTGATTTGAATAATAATGCTATACTTCATTTAGTAATGAAAAGTAAATCATTAACAAAGTATGTGTCATGTTCACCAGCGAACAACCACCAGATGTCGCTGGTAAACACACACACACTTAGAACTACACTTTTCCTGGACTACAACTTCATACATGCTCTTCGCCCACACACCTGCTTTCTCATTTAGCTTGATTCACATTCACACCTGAGGACTTTCAGAGACTGATTACACACAGTATTTAAGCAGCACACACACTCATTCACATGGCCGAGTCTTGTTTATCTGTAAGGTGACATTACAACGCGTTATCCTGGTCTTGTTTCTCTGTGTTTTGAACCTAGCCTTGTTTATTTAGTTTTCCTTGTCTGCCGCCTGCCTTTCGACCTCTTGCTTGTTAACTGACTACGATTCTGGATTGTCCTCACATACCTGTTTGCTCCCGTATTGACCACTGCTTGCCTGACTGTGAATAAACCTGCACATTGGATCCTACCCTCTGTTGTGGTGTTACTCCCCGGCGTTACAGAAGACTCGGCCACACAACATGGATCCAGCGGGTATTGCAATCATGCGTCTGCGTCAGGAAGCCCGGTCCATTGAGGAGTACGTGGAGGAATTCATCGAACTGGCACACATAACATCCATGAGTGAGTTATGTTTGATGATATTCTTTCGTGGAGGACTTTCTGAGCCCCTTTATTCCATCATGCCTTTGCACGAACCCCAGGGGACGTTAGAAAATTACATTGATCTGGCATTACAGATGAGTGGGTCCTCCTTCACTGTTGGCAAGGTGGAGGAAACCCCTAAATGTTTTTTGGGGGGGGGCAATAGACAGCAAGACCCGCCAGCTGCGGGGCTTGCAATCCCCTCTACCAACAATATTATGCTTGCATCTCCAGTACTCCTGTCCCCTGTTCACCTGCCTAGACCTCAGCCAGCTCACAAGATGGCTGTCTCCAGTTCCCCATGTCACAAGATGGCTGCCTCCAGTCTGCCATTTCACAAAATGGCCGCCAACAGTCCAGCTTACAAGATGGCTGCATTCGGTCTTCCAGCTAACAAGATTGCTAACACCAGTTCTCCATGTCACAAAATGGCCGCCAACATTCCAGCTCACAAGATGGCCGACTCCAGTCCTCCAGCTCACAAGATGGCCGACTCCAGTCCTCCAGCTCACAAGATGGCCGACTCAAGTCCTCCAGCTCACAAGATGGCCGACTCCAGTCCTCCAGCTCACAAGATGGCCGACTCCAGTCCTCCAGCTCACAAGATGGCCGACTCAAGTCCTCCAGCTCACAAGATGGCCGACTCCAGTCCTCCAGCTCACAAGATGGCCGACTCAAGTCCTCCAGCTCACAAGATGGCCGACTCAAGTCCTCCAGCTCACAAGATGGCCGACTCCAGTCCTCCAGCTCACAATGTGGTCACAACCAGCCCTCCAACTCACAATGTGGTAAACGCCAATCTGCCACCAGCTCACAAGATGGCTTCTTGTTCCGAGTCCGTTCCTGTCCTTGTTCCTGTTCTAGTTCCTGAAATACCATCACCTGAGCCACCAGAATGGCCTCCACCACCTGAGTTACTGCCAGAGCTGCCACCACCAGAGCTGTTACTACCAGAGCTGCCACCGCCACCTCCAGAGCTGCCAGACCCTCCAGAGCTGCCAGACCCGCCAGAGCTGCCAGACCCGCCAGAGCTGCCAGACCCGCCAGAGCTGCCAGACCCTCCAGTGCTGCCAGATCCTCCAGCGCTGCCAGATCCTCCAGCGCTGCCAGATCCTCCAGCGCTGCCAGACCGTCCAGTGCTGCCAGATCCTCTAGAGCTGCCAGATCCTCTAGAGCTGCAAGAGTCTACGCCGCAGCCAGAGTCTACGCCGGAGCCAGAGTCTACACCACAGCCAGCGCCACAGCTGGACACGCAGCCAGAGTCGACGCCGCAGCCAGAGTCGACGCTGTTACCTGAGCTCGCTGAATGGCCGCCGCCTCCTGAGCTTCCTGAATGGCCGCCGCCTCCTGAGCTTCCTGAACGGCCGCCGCCTCCTGAGCTTCCTGAACGGCCGCCGCCTCCTGAGCTTCCTGAATGGCCGCCGCCTCCTGAGCTTCCTGAATGGCCGCCGCCTCCTGAGCTTCCTGAACGGCCGCCGCCTCCTGAGCTTCCTGAACGGCCGCCACCTCCTGAGCTTCCTGAACGGCCGCCGCCGCCTGAACTCCCTGAACGGCCGCCGCCGCCTGAACTCCCTGAACGGCCGCCGCCGCCTGAACTCCCTGAACGGCCGCCGCCGCCTGAACTCCCTGAACGACCGCCGCCGCCTGAACTCCCTGAACGGCCGCCGCCGCCTGAACTCCCTGAACGGCCGCCGCCGCCTGAACTCCCTGAACGGCCGCCGCCGCCTGAACTCCCTGAACGGCCGCCGTCGCCTGAACTACCTGAACGGCCACCGCCTCCTAAGCTTCCTCAATGGTCGCAGCCTCATGATCCAGGGCCACTGCAGCTCCACGCTCCAGGCCCTCCGCAGCTCCACGCTCCAGGCCCTCCGCAGCTCCACGCTCCAGGCCCTCCGCAGCTCCACGCTCCAGGCCCTCCGCAGCTCCACGCTCCAGGCCCTCCGCAGCTCCACGCTCCAGGCCCTCCGCAGCTCCACGCTCCAGGCCCTCCGCAGCTCCACGCTCCAGGCCCTCCGCAGCTCCACGCTCCAGGCCCTCCGCTGCTCCACGCTCCAGGCCCTCCGCTGCTCCACGCTCCAGGCCCTCCGCTGCTCCACGCTCCAGGCCCTCCGCTGCTCCACGCTCCAGGCCCTCCGCTGCTCCACGCTCCAGGCCCTCCGCTGCTCCATGCTCCAGTCCTGCCCCCGCTGCATGGTCCTGGCCCTCCATCCCTCCCCCAGTTCCGCCTCCGCTCCACCTCCCGCCTGAACAGTATTAGGAGTGTCTGGAAGCCACTCCTTAGAGGGGGGGCTCTGTCATGTTCACCAGCGAACAACCACCAGATGTCGCTGGTAAACACACACACACTTAGAACTACACTTTTCCTGGACTACAACTTCATACATGCTCTTCGCCCACACACCTGCTTTCTCATTTAGCTTGATTCACATTCACACCTGAGGACTTTCAGAGACTGATTACACACAGTATTTAAGCAGCACACACACTCATTCACATGGCCGAGTCTTGTTTATCTGTAAGGTGACATTACAACGCGTTATCCTGGTCTTGTTTCTCTGTGTTTTGAACCTAGCCTTGTTTATTTAGTTTTCCTTGTCTGCCGCCTGCCTTTCGACCTCTTGCTTGTTAACTGACTACGATTCTGGATTGTCCTCACATACCTGTTTGCTCCCGTATTGACCACTGCTTGCCTGACTGTGAATAAACCTGCACATTGGATCCTACCCTCTGTTGTGGTGTTACTCCCCGGCGTTACAGTATGAAAGTACAATTATTAAGTGCATTATAAATGTGGTTATAAGTCAATAATAGAGCATTTTTACTTACTAATGTTTATTAATGTAGAGTTAATGCTTAACAGAAAATGCATTCACTATTTGCTAATGCTTAATAAGATGTTCATAGTGTGTAGTTATTACAAAGTGTTGCTTTAGATTATTTTTACACTCAAATTAGTTTATGCATATTTTAATAGTTGGCTTTTTATATTATTAAATATTTAAAAATGTTTGAAATTATCTTCTAAAGTGCATCACAGTGATACTTATACTGATTAATTATTCAAGTAATATTAATAACGCACCATTATAATCATATTCAACTACTGTATCTATACAATAATTAGTTTTTTTATTGCCAGTGGCCAGTCCCCTGGAGCAGAGGGCGTATTGACCACCTTTGTAAACACCGCTCTCTGGTTTAGGAAAGGTTTACCTCTCCACACCAGCCATCTCAGTTCTCAGTGAAAACGTTTTTTTCAGCAGGGGACATTGAATCGTGAATCGGGAGTAAGGTGAATCGTTACAACCCTAACTGTTATTGAAGATGCTTTAAATGCTATCGCAATTAAACAGCTGCATACTCAATGTGCTCGAAATCAGCATTATATAAATGACCTCTTAAAAGTCATTCATTAGTAATTAATTACTAATTACATCATTTAAAAAAATTTTATAGTGATTTTTACAATAAAAATTGTTCACACTTACAAAAGGTGCATGTTATTGCATTACAATCAGATTGAATTAAAGTTACAATCAACTATAAGTTATAAATATAAAGTGATTTAATTTTCCAATGAGGAATTAATGATTCAGTACTACTTAAAATCTTTATAGAATTATATAGTTAAAATTTAAGAGTCGAGTTTAAGATATTTATTTAAATATTTTATTTGCATGCGTTTTAATAAATTATTTTCTTAACAAAAGGAAAACTTATATAAAGGAGGGTTACAGTTAATATTTTATACCATATATTCCTTTTTCTGACAAAGTTCTTTGTTTCTTAAGCATCTGCGACTGTCTTGGTAGTTATTCAGCAAAATATATGTGCATAAAGATTCAATTACTCTGCTTCTTTGTATTGATTTTAACAGTATTGTTGATTTTATTTATTATTTATAAGTGCATTATAACTAACTGATGCTAAAATGTATTTTACTCTTAAAATTAACAATTTATGTAGTTATGAGCTTATGTAATGAATCTGACAGAATTTTAATTATGCGTCTGACGTTTAATTTAGTAACGTGGGTCAGGGTAGTCCACTAAAGAACAAAAATGTGTATTTCAGCAGACACGAGGATGACATAAGTGCAGTGAAAATGTTCAGCTATTAGTATTTCTGCATCAATTTAGTTTGGGCTCGTCTAATTTAAAATAGCTGTGCCCTTTATAACATCTATCCGAGTTATCCAGAATCTATTTCCAGACCACATTTTCAAATATAATTATCAGGAGTTCATGACATAACAGAGCTTGAACAAGTTTATTTTAACGTAGACTGCATTACAATGCACATTTAGTGGTAAAGTATGTTTATTTTGGCGAAGACTGTATTACAAAGCATAGCATGCCATTAAGCTAATACAAACTGCCTGCACAAAGCAACAAGCTCAGCGAATTCATATAAAATTGCTTCAAAAGATGGCTTTCATGATGACAATTCCAGCTGAGGGATCTTTAATTCACCTTAAACTAGATCTGCCAGAGCGAACTCTTTCCATTTAATCTTTTGCGCGCGAGTCATTTGGAATTATAGAATGTAAATGCTGCAGAGAGAGTCGTGCTGATGGAATGAGTCTAATTTAGCAGCGCAGCAGAGAGTCAGTTGCTGGGCTGCAAGAGGATTTCTGCCCTCGCTGGAAACTGAATTCCATTTGACAGATTCTCAAACACCAAACAGTACAAAGTCATATGCCTGGCCTGACAACTTGGAATGTTTGCTTTCCAGTATTTTCAATTGGCAGTGACATCTTGTTTAGAGTGTCAGCAAAACTGGAGCACTTTCTGTCTGAAAGTGTTCTAGTTTTGGGTTGCTTTCTTACTGTTGTTTTTGTCATTCTTTGCTTTAGGTGACCCAGTTGTTGTTGAATAGTAACATGGTGGTGGCTCTTTTAGAGGGTAACGGCAGGGATAACACCCCACTGCATCTTGCTGCCCGCAATGGCCACAAGGACATCATCAGGTCTGTTTTTCTCTAACCACAACACATTTATTCATTTGGGCTTCCCTGCCTCTCCCGTTCAGTCTATATGGGTCAAAGATTAGACGCTTTAGTGCCCATATCAAACTCAATTTACAATTATTTTATGTACGTAGAAAGCATATTACATAGAACTAAAGTCAAAATAAAATGTGGAAATATGTGTAAAATAATGTTACAACTTAGTTGTCCTTCATAGCAGAAGTTAAAATAAATAAAAACACATTAGTATTCTGAACTATATTTTTTAAATGGTCTACCTCAGATTTTCTTTCGGATTTTTTGCAACTTAAATAGGTGTGGAAAGCTGTGAGCAGAAGGCTGGGGAAGTCTGTCATCTGTCATTGGCCCATACTAGCTCTAACTGACTCAAGATTTTTTATTTAAAGAGTGCTTATTTTAAAATTGATACACGCACATACATACTCTGAAGAAACAGAATGTCCAAGGGCAATGAATTGTTTGAATTCATATCTGAAAGCATTTGAATACCTAGTCAATCCCCTGAGAGACATAATGACTTTAAACACACACCAAGTGCTCTTGTTAAACAATGATCGTTAAAGCCAATCATAGTCATAGCTGTTGAACGTGTGAACACAATGGCCAATCAGCAGTCTTAAATAATCCCCTCAGCCATGCTGTAATTGCAAGTGGGAAATGTTGCTATTGTCCCATTTAAAAACATTTTTGCAGAGTCACAGACTCATAGAATTTGGTATTTCTGACAAATATTTGTTACTTCTAGCTCATAGGATATGAAACCTCAGTCTCATGAATAATAATTATTAGAGAACGATGCATCATCACAGTACACCTATGCTACATCACTGGCAGTCCTGCCCTGTCATAGATTTCAAACCCTGAAGATAAAAATAAGACAAAAATCCCATAATTAGCCAGTTATTTACTAATATTATAGCTAACAGATGCTAATGTTGTCTTGATAGATGTTCAACACACACAAATCTGTTCAAATCTCAGAAAATGTAAACCCTTAAAAAAGTCTAGGGTTTCATGTCCATTAAAGATAAATGACCAAACAAAATTTTATTATATTTGAAATTACTTTCTAGTGAAGCTTGGACCACTAGGGCAAAGCCTAGTGTTTTAAAAGATTGTAATAACCTATTAAGAAAGTAGATCATAAAGATATATTTTAGCTATATATAGGGCTGGGCGGTATTGGAAAAAAAAAATCACAATGTCATGGTCCATATCATTCGGTATGCATAATTATTGAATATAAACAATACATTTAGGAATATTATGATTTTTCCCCCACTTTATACTAATTTACCAACAACACTAAGGCAAATAGTTTTAATATTTATCAAATATTTAAACAAAACTTCTGATCTCTTTATAATATAATAACCATAAGTGTTAAAGACACTCTTAAACTTGATAAATATAATGTTACTAAGTGTATGCAATGAAAAAAGGTAGATTAACATCTGTAAGGTGTGAATAAAAATGATACCGTAAACCTCAAACTCTGTAAACAGAACAAATTATGATAATCAAATCTGAGCTTTCAAGTAAAGGAAATAACCATCATTATTCAAATACACACTTCAGCATTACAAATGGTGAACTTGGATGACTACATTAACCCTATGCTAAAAAATCAGATGGGGTGCTAGCGGCTGAGATGCACAAGAAAAGGAACCAAAAAGCCACTCTGGCGACATCCTTACATCCTTTTTTATTTACAATCTCTTCACTGCTCCTCTACAGCACTCATTTTTGCATGTGTTGTTATTCTGACCTGAAGTGACAAACGTGTGCATGTGGTTTTCTTCACCATTTTCAATGCACTTTCCACTCGCTCTACCCTGGCGTCTCTCTAACTAGTTAACTATCAAGCGTTTTCTCAAATGGACAAACCATTCCTGCAGCTCCGATACAAGTTTTTGGAGAAAAGTAAAAGCACTGCAGTGATTGGATTTGCTGTGTTTCTCAGGTAATTAATCTATCATTATTACTGAAATGTGTATATTCCATAAAAAGTATCATGCAGTTTGGTTAGTTCTACTTGCATGAATCGCGGAGCATTTGTGGCATTTGGAAAAGTTCTGATGTTTTCCAATTAGCTGTACCTAGAAAATGAGTGTGCCTCCATTAGAAATGACAAACACCCTAAGCTTATTGGCATTCCTTCCAAGAAACATGCTCAGCAGCCACATTTTAATAAAACTATACATTTTTATATAAACATTTTTTTATCGTTATTGACAATTGTGTTCGGCCAATAAATACTAATACCGATTTTATCTTTCAGCCATATTTTTACATTAAAATAATGTATTTCAAAGCAGCAACAAAATATAACTTGTCCCAATGTGGAGTTTTAGATATATTTCTATTACAATAAGAAAATGGCCAATTCAATCTAAATCATAATAATATGAGCGTACCATCGGGGAATATCTGAAGTCAAAAACTGATACAGCTGATAAATACCTTGTAGTTTCTTACACCATGGCCCATAATGATCCAATTTAAATCACTAGATAGTAAATAGGTGGGCTTTTTAAATACATTTGACCATATACATTTAGTAGCTCTAAAAGTAATCGCCTCAAATGGAATTTGACGACCACTCGAAGTGTTAAAAAAGGGACAAGTCTAAACATCTAAATTCTGTTCACACCTGAATTGAATGTTTCCCATGTGTGATTGGATTGATGAAAACATTTCTTTATATCAGAGTTAACTAAGGCCCAATTCACCTACAAAACTAATTTAAATTCAACCCCGGTAGGCAGCAAGTTGCAACAAGATAGCAAGAGTTGTACAGTACTTGTGTTTATGTGCATGACGTGGTGCTGTATCAAGCCGGTGGCCAGGCAGACCTAGGCTAGACGCTTTGTTGACATGTTAGTCGAGCAAGGGAGGTGAAGAGAAGAGTGTGTGGAATGAGCATAGTGCGAGTAGTGTGTGCATGTGTTGACCTGGACTGCCCTGTAATGAGAGGACTGACGGCGCTGTGATGGTAACACGCATAGGAATGAGGCCGAATAGGGTTACAGCAGTCAGTCAGCTGCTCCACACACTCCTCTAGCAGTAACCATATATGAAAGTCCACACTGCAGCTCTGGCTTTCTGGAATGCTGGAACTTGTAAACATGGGAAAGATGGAGAGCATTTGATGCAGCATTTGGTTGGTTGGTTTGCTGAAGACTATTTTTTTGCAAATTAATGAACTGTTTCATTGGTAAATAAATATTATAATGTGGATGTTTAAACGACACAGTAAAAGTTTTCAAATGACATCAGCATTTTTGATTGCTGAATACAAACTTTTGAAAACCCTTTCGAAGTGCAGGTTTTTAAAAATATTATCATAATATGTCACTATGTAAATAAAAAATGCATTGCTGTGAATATTTTCATAGCATTTCTTGTGCAGTCTGTGGGCATACTGTACACACATATTTGAGTGTGTGTGCAAGTGTTTAATGTTTATTTTTGAAGTGACATCCAGCTTCTGCTCTGGCATTTATTCTGCAGTGTTTATAGTCATGTACGCATACACTTAAGCGGGTTGCATGACGGCACTCATAAAAAACAAAGTTTAGATTCTTAAAGATGTGGCATGCGCTTCTCTTCCATATGTTCTACCCTGTTAAGAGATCAAACAAAAAAATATATTTCGTCATTTTATACTCATCTTTTTAGTCTTAACATGTATGATTTACTTTAATCAAATGAAAATTACTGTAATTATTTAAGATTTATTTTTATTTTCTTTTAAACTGTTTGCTAGATAATTAATTTAGAAAGTAAACGTAATAACACATGTACAGCCAGTAATTTAACATGTATTTATTTACTAAATCATCACATTTATACAGCAGCTCACCAGTGCAATCACCAGTGCAATCAATCAGTGGCAGCTATAGGCTTGTTTGCCTCCAATAATAAAGTCACAACCAGGAGGGATGAATTAAAATAAGACTTACGCTGAGTTGCAAATGTCCAGATAGCAGTCTGCTTTGCTATCATAACTATGTTTTTATTAGCTGTCAGTGCAGAAAACCCTGCTTTAAATAAACTGATTGGAAATTATGTTTTCTAAATTGTGCTGTATGTAAATTTAGGTAATGTTTTTATATGGCCCTGTACTAGATCAGGACCTAGTTGTAGACCCTGAGTAAGTCTGCATACTGTATATTACTGTCTCTGTGTTAAAGGGCACCTATGATGAAAATCAACTTTTGGACAGAACTGTGTGTAGTTAAAGTCTGTCCACAGTCAAATTGGAGTTTTATATATAAACACAATGTTTATTTGTATTTTTTTTACATTGCCTGATGTTAAAATAGAATCAAAATCCCTCACTCCCACATATTAACATGTCTCCGTAGTAACACGTACAGTATAATCATATCCACAAGACAGGACGTGCTCAAAGCAGCTGAGATTAAAAGATCTGTTCAGCTCTCTGCGATCATCAATCAATTTAAGACGGTGCATGTTTCTAATACAGACAGTAAAATTTCTACGCCACAACAGCTTCATAATGTCAGTACAATTATAAAAGAAGATGCTTGAATCCTGGTGTGGACTTAAATCCGGTTTATTTTGTACATTAACATAATTGATGTCCATACAGCAGTGGATATTAACATGTATCCTGTCACATTTGTATGCAAAAACAAAAACTAAACGTGTGTGTGCGCATGTGCTCAAACTTTATAGCAACTTTGCGTGTGACTCATCGATGCAGGAAGGCTTGAATTTACTCCACACAAAAATACATCAAATAACCGTTGGGAAAGTTCTTACTGTAGTATGGAAGATCTTGTCTGTCACTCTGCTATTTATCTACGTGAAAGCTACACACATCAGAGCAGATCAGACAGAGCAGATCAGATAGATCTCTATGGCACTGACATGCATGTGAAAATGGTGGGCGGGGAGAACCAGCTCATTTGTATTAAAGGCACAGGCAACAGAAACAGCAATGTCCTAACCGCTCAAATTTCCCAGATTTAAAGAGGTTCAATAAATAATCTGATGAATGTTTTGAGCTGAAACTTTACAGACACATTCTGGAGACAAAAGACATATTAAATATTGAAAAATGGGTAAAATTGGTGCCCCTCACAGCAAGTCTTTTCCACTAATATTTGCATGTTGAAATCACAAGTGTGTCTCAATGTGCTTGGCTCTTTATTTAAAAAGTATAGCTTTTTGTGTAGTATTACATTTCACACTTCCATATGTGAGATCTGAGGAAATTTTCCATGAAAAACCTTTTAAATGTTAGTTTGGTAACTTTTTTTTCATACTAGGGTTTCACAAAGCTTCAGAAAGTTATAGGTACTACTTTTATGCTGCTTTCTATGTCAGTCCCGGTTTACTTCAAATCTGTGGAAAAAAGAATAAAAGAACAATTAAAATTCATAAAGATTTTGAACAACATGAAAGTAAACACTTTGGATGACCTCTGTTAAAAACAGGAGGCCAGGCTTTTATCCATTGAAATGACTGAATTAATCAATTGTGGTTTAATGGAAAATGGGTCCAGCACTGCTGAATCCTGAAGAGACACTGACAATGTAAAAGGATGCAGAGGCTGTGTTTGTTACTCAAAAGTTTTAAATTGCCATGACATTTGACCTCTTGCTGGTGGTCTTGAACCTAACTTTCATCCTGTGGTTTCAGCGTTGCATACTCACTATGCAGCTGTGGTGTTAAATTTGGGTTTGGACTAATTTACAGTATTACTGCAGGCTGAATTTCCTACATTGCCGCACTAGGCTCAAGTTTCTCATTTTATCTCTTTCTACAGTTTCTTCTCACCTATTTAAAATAATTTCAACTAAATTTGAGATTTCATATCTGCCTATTAAGTAATTTGCATAATAAAATATAAGACCTGATACCCTGGCAGATTCGATCTTGCGGTAATGAGCAGCTGAGAGTGAGTTTGTTCGTGACTTGTTGACAGGATGGATCATGTGTCACTGTGGTCTATCACTCATTTTTAGACTGCTGCTAAAAGCTGGGATTGACATCAACAGAACCACTAAATCCGGGACGGCTCTGCACGAGGCTGCCCTCTACGGGAAAACCGAAGTAGTCAAATTATTGCTTGACGTAAGTGGATAAATACAGAATAACAGAAACTGGAATGATTTACTATGTTTATTTCATCTCTATTCCTATGCGAGATTTATTATAAAAGTTTTTAATGTTTTTGGGGTCTTTCCCAGAGTAAAGTGCTTCAATCTGTAATATTAGAGCACAATGATTTTAATGTGTTTCTGTTAGTATATACGCAGCCATTTTTACTTAACTGAGTTAACTCACATTTTAATCAATTGCTTCCCCTTCTGTCACAGGCTGGGATTGATGTGAACATCCGCAACACCTACAATCAAACAGCTCTGGACATTGTGAACCAGTTCACTACTTCACATGCCAGCAAAGAAATCAAACAACTCCTCAGAGGTGACTCAGGAATCCACTGCTCTCGGTTTTGTTCTTGAATCCCTTGATCCAGTTTTTTTTTCAGTTTGTTCTGTCATTTCTTTACCTTTCCTATTCCAAGCCATTCATGTTCTCAGTCATTTTCTTCTGTTTTTACTTTTTCTCTTCAGTACTTTATTCTATTCCCTTTTCCATTTCTTCACACTTTACTGTTTCCTTTTAATAATCCTTACTGCTCTCTTACCCTTATTTTTATCTTCTTTTTACTCTTCATTCCCTTCCATTTCCTTTTCCAGGCTTTTCCATTGTATTATTTTTGCACTGTTTAATAATTTCCTTTCCCTTTTCTAGGCTTTTCCTTTTTATTATATTCCTTTCTTATTAGTTGTTTTCTTTCCACTCAGTTCTTTCCTTTTCTTTCCTTTTCTTTTTTCCCATTATTTATCTTTTAATTTCCATTATTTTTCATTTCCGTTATATTTCCTTTTCTTTGCTCTTTCCTTTCCTTTCCATCTTCCAGACTTTTCCTTTTCATTATTTTTCCATTTAATTTAAATTATTTTAAGAGGTCACGCTTAGCTGATGATGGATAATAGAGCTTGTTTGGCATGCTGTCCCGGGAGAGAGCCCTGAGCTTATAAGATTCTCGAGCCCTGGGCTTCCTCCCATTAGTGGTGCGAGAGGGGAGTTTGAGCTTAGGTAGATCTTAATTAACTCCACCAACTTGTTAATCACTAATCACAGATTATAGGGATAGCTATACGGCTTACTAAGAGCTTGTCTATCGTGCCAATTTTGTATTGTTAAATTGCCTCTATCGCATGTTTTTGGACTGTGGGAGGAAACTGGGGAACCCAGGGGAAAACATGCAAATTCCCCACAGAAATGTCGACTGATCCAGTAATAATGACTTAATCTGTTAATCACTGGGCTGCCATGTTGCCCAATCTTGTAAAAGGCAGGAGTAGGAGGGGTGGGAGGGGGATTTTTCAAGACGAAGATACTGAGGTAAGAAACTCTGGTTATTTACAGTGAGTTAAGAATCTTCTGATTGGTGAACCATGTGTTGGATAATGTGGGACCAGTCGTGGACAATCATAAGCATGTGCATTTTTATATGCATAAGCATCATTTTTCATCTAATTTCCATTATTTTTCTGTCATTTCTTAACTTTTCCTTTTCCAAACCATTTATGTTTTAATTCCTTATGCTTTCATTTTAATCTTCACTACTGTATTCTTATTTCCATTTTTTTACACTTTACTGTTTCTTTGTTCCAATCCTCACTGTACTTTTTCCTTAGTTTTATCTTTTTACTCATTTACTCATTTTACTTAATTCCCTTCCCTTATATTTTCCTTTCCCTTTTCAGGCTTTTCCATTGTATTATTTTTGCACTTTTATTAATTTCCTTTCCCTCTTCCATTTCCTTCCCTTCCCTTTCTTTGACTATTGTTTTTCCACTTTGTGCCCCCTCCAATATGGAGTGTAATGTATATTATTTGATGTCAGGTCATGAGTCTTTGTTCATTGTTCTCTTTGACTGTGTGCAGACAATAGTTGTCAAGAGTGTGTTTAGTGTTGTGTACTCATTTCTGGGAACCTGCTTTCATAAGCTTTGTTATAAAGCTATGGAGTTGCATAACATTACTGTCCCGGGGCACAGCAGTGACAGCCTGGAGATTTCACTAAAAGTTTTGTTTATGTCTTTATGTGTCTGTGTCTAGGCGTACGTCTGGATGTGTTAAGTAGCTGCACCCTTTCACCGTCCCTCCTGTAATCCAGCAGCTTGTTGTCTTTGAAGTGCGAGCTTTGATACGAGCACTAAAACGGCTGAAGGAGCTGTGTTTGAAGATGAGAAGAGTTTAGCAGTTCAGCTCCTCATTAAAGTTTCAGGAGATGTGCTAAGAGCTTCAGAGTATTTAAACATTACTCATCTTTAAATTCTGCTTATTACACTTCTTTATTGCGAACAAACACCACTTGGGTCTTGAACGCTTGGTCATTTTGACCGATACGAAGATCTCCTAAATGACTAGTAGAAGACTTGATGCATATTTTCAAATAGTTTTTCTTTCTCTCTCATTCATGCATTCATTGCTCTGGGTGGTGACCTTTAGACGCCAGTGGAGCATTGCAGGTGAGAGCTTTGAAGGACTACTGGAATCTCCACGACCCCACTGCTCTCAACATTCGAGCAGGAGATGTAATCACGGTAGGCATAAAAGAAATTACGTTTCAAGCAAACACTCCACTATTTTTCACATGAGGTGCCCTAATTTAATACTGTATAATGTGTGTTATGCAATAGGCCTATATAATTGGCAGCATGCTGTTGATCTGCATTGTTGCTTACTAAACTATATTCTGATAAATCACAGAAACATCAAAACCAAAAGATGTTTAGGCTGGTGAATAAAAGAGTAGAGCTAAAAGCAATATTCACTAAGATGCAAGACAACACTCTGAATTGCACACTCTATCATATTTCTAACTGATGATAATCACGTCCCACTCATAAGACAGAATAAAGTAAGTGGTGAATGGTAATTTGGTGTTCCCTACAGAGATTACTTTAGCATGCTGCAACATGTTCTGGCCAATCAGCTTTTGATGTCTGGCTGGAATGAGCCGTAGCTTGTTGTTTGTGCTATGATAGCATGTGTTCAGCCTAGTTTCTCCTTAGAGTGTGCTTTGCGCTCACTGAAAGACTTGTTCGCTGTGTGTACTGTTGAGTGCTGCCTGAGGCTCAGTGCCACACGTATGCCATGTTATTGTTCACACCTTGTCTGTCTAGATAGCTTCAGGCGGCCATTTCTGCTAGCATAAAAGACTGCTGTGCTTTTGTGGCAGAGGCACATAAGAGACTTTTTTTAAAACTAGCTGTGAAAGATATTTCCACTCAGGTGCACTTTAGTTCGCTTACAGCAATATTGGAAAATTAGGGGGTTGAATTAAGGGGAAATTAACATGCTGCCCAATAATTCATTCTGTAATAGGTAAAAATACGAACTGCCATTCACCCTTACGGGACAGATGTGGACCTTTAAAGAGTGGTTTTGAGAACAAAGCACCATGGGGCAAATTCAGTTAACAGCATGTTTGTTTTTCAGAACAAAACCTGCTAATTTCTAGGTTGGGCCGACACTGAAAAGCCTGAAAGCCTGCATTTAGCATTGAGTTCGTCTCACTCACTTTCTCGAAAGACACTTTTTAAATGTAAACTATTATTAAATTTTGAATCTCAGCACAGTTTGCCTGGTGTGACTAATGTTATGTGAATGTGGCATTAAAAAAAGCTCTGGTAAACTGGGTTTCTAAAACTTTTTAAGAAATGTAAATAACGATGAAATTAAAATAGAAATGCTGCTTTAGCTTCCCTACTGAAAAAAATAGCCTTAACCAGCCTAGGCTGGTTGGCTGGTTTTAGCTGGTCGACCAGGCTGGTTTTAGAGGGGTTTTGGCCATTTCCAGGCTGGTTTCCAGCCATTTCCAGACTGGTCTTAGCTGGTCAGGTTTGGAGATAACCAGCTAAAACCAGCTTGACTAGCCTATCCAAGCTGGGAGCCCAGCCAAAACCAGCTATTTCCAGCTTAAACCAGGCTGGTCAAGCTGGTTTTAGCTGGTCATTTTTCAGCCTGACCAGCTGAGACCAGGCTGGAAATGGCTGGAAACCAGCCTGGAAATGGCCAACACCCCTCTAAAACCAGGCTGGTCAACTGGCTAAAACCAGCCAACCGGTCTAGGCTAGTTTAAGCTGGATTTTTCAGCAGGGTACTGAAATGAGTATTAATTTATTTAAAGGGCACCTATGATGAAATTTATCTTTTGAAGCTGTAAGCTGTTTGGACAGAACTGTGTGTTGGTATAGTGTGTCCACACTCATATTGGGGTGATATAAAGATGATCTATTTTTTTTTATTTCCTGATGTTAAAATAGGATTCAAATCCCTCCCATTTTGAGGCTGACCGCAACGCGATGTAGGTGTGTGATTTCCATGCCCACCGAATTGATTGACAGCCGCGCATTAACATGTCTTCATAGTAATGCGTAAAATCTTATTAACAAGGCAGGACGTGCATAAAGCAAGTGGGATTTAAAGATCTGTTGAGCTTGCTGTGATCATCAATCATCATCAAATGCAATCAAGATCGAGTTTTACAATGTTAAAATTTTTTTAAAACAGTGCATGTTTATAATGAATTACATAGATTTTACCGTTTTTACTTTATCACAACAGCCGCATGTCAGTATAATTGTAAAAGAAGATGCTTCAATCCTGGTTTGTGGACATTAAATCAGGTTTATTTTGTACATTAACATAACGAATCTCCATACAGCAGTGGATATTAATGTGCATTCTGTCAAAAACAGTGCAAAGTTAAACGGGCACACTGTGTTTGTGTGTCTGTTGTGTGTCTGTGTACATGCGTGAACTTTGTAATGACATCATTGCAAATGCACAACAAAGGCATCAAATAATCATTGAGATGGTTCTTACTGTAGTATTTCTCACAAACTTTTCATGAGATCTGATTCTTTCATGCCTGTCACTGTGCTGTTTATCTGAAGCAACCTAGGCGGAGATTGAGGCACATTCTGACAGGCAGGGGGGAACAGTGGACGGGGAGAACAAGCATTAAAAGCACCCTCAACAAAAACAGCTACATAGTGTTAAAAGCAGAAAATTACTAACTTCTAGAAGGTATAATAAATTATCTGATGGGTGTTTTGACCTGAAACTTTACAGCCACATTCTGGAGACAAAAAAGACTCATCTTAAATCTTGAAAAAGGGGTAAAATAGGTGCCCTTTAAACAAACACCAGAAGTAAAAGGTAAATAGAACTAATAACAGTTTAAGTACTACTAAAATGAGAAAACTACTAAAATCACACTAAAAACAAAACTACTAAAAACAAAAATCGCAAAGCTAAAATGAAGTAAAAGCTAAAATTAATCTTTAAATTAAAATAATTCTGTAATGTCAAAAATTTGGATAAAATTTATAATGTAAATAATTGAGGTAGTTGAGTTGTAAATAACTGGGGATCTACGTGCAGTTTTATTAGAAGTAGTCAGGCAGGCAATGGTGGAACACAGGAGCAAACAGGAACATACAGGTAATCCAAAAGGCAAAGTCAGGTAGAAGGCAAGTTGTCAGTACAGCCTGCAAAGAATGAATAAATAGAAAACAAAGCAAAAATCAAACACAGAAAGACAGGTTAACGCTTCATGATATACAGAGTATAAACCAATAAGACTCAGCAAAGTGTGTGACAAAGTGAGCAGTCCATATACTCTGAGTAATCAGTCCTTGAGCAGCTCTCAGCTGTGTGTGTAATCTAAGATGAACCAGTTTGAGTGAGGTGCATGACAGGATTTGTAGTTCATATGGTGACAGGATTGTAGTCCGAGTGAAAATGAATGTTTACCAGTGATCTACAAGCCTGGATCGCTGGTGATTGTGACAATAATTTCAAAATAATTATGATAGATTGCACCAGTGAGCTATCAATCATCACTAAACATGCTAAGGTGGACGAAACATTTGATAAACAGAACATAATTATTTTTTTCTGTGTAAAATCGATAATCAGTTTTTGGTGTCCATTTATTTATTTAGTTTGCTTCACAATGGGAATCATGTGAGAGGGGCCTGTTAGAAGCATTGCCTAATTTGCATATTCTGACTCCTAAAACGGGTGTTGCACGTTAACGGAAAATTTATTCTTAGTGTCTTTTTCCAGGCAAGCTTCACACTCGAACACAATTTCGTGTCAGTCAGTAGGAATGACTTTCATTGCTGCACAAGCTTCTCTGCCATGTGTGGAATGTCAACTGACTTAATTTACTGCATTGTTCAGCCAAATGAGGTAACAATCACAGGCTAGACCACAAGGTTAGGAAAGGGTAGAAGACTTATTTAAAACTAGTTGACACAAAGGACATTCAGCATTGAATAGTTTAGGGTACGCAGATGGCCATGTCAAATCATGATTAATTTAAAGTGATTGCACACAAAAGAAAAAGTCTTATTAGTCATTTAAAGAGCTGTTCATTCTCAATACCCTGTGATGCTATTGGTGTGCTTCAGGTCTTGGAGCAACACATGGATGGACGATGGAAAGGACATATCCATGACAGTCAGAGGGGCACTGACCGTGTGGGATTCTTCCCTCCTTCCATTGTGGAGGTTATTAGTCGCAGATCAGGTATTCAAGTGCAAATCACTACAAAGTCAGCGCAAATATGTGGTCCATCACCTGTTTTTATGATGACATCTGCTACTGTAGCTCTCCCTATCTTCATTTCCCACTTTCCCATAGAGCAAGGAAATTTTCACAGTGTGTCTGATAATATTTTTTCTTCTGGAGAAAGTCTTATTTGCTTTATTTCGGCTAGAATAAAAGCAGTTTTTAATTTTTTAAACACCATTTTAAGGACAATTATTAGCTCCTTTAAGCTACACTTTTTTTTCAATAGTCTACAGAACAAACCATAGTTATATAATGATGTGCCTAATTACCCTTACCTGCTTAGTTAACCTAATTAACCTAGTTAAGCCTTTTTAAATGTCACTTTAAGCTGAATAGAAGTGTCTTAAAAAATATTTAATGAAATATTATTTACTGTCGTCATGGCAAAGATAAAATAAATCAGTTATTAGAGAAGTTTTTTTAATTATTATGTTTAGAAATGTGCTGAAATTTTTTTCTCTCCGTTAAACAAAAATTGGAGAAAAAAAATAAATGGGGGCTAATAATTCTGACTTCAACTGTATATTCAGTTGTAGCCCACCAATGCCTCTGCGGGATAAAAATAGTTTTATATTTTTAAAACAAGATACTTTTTCTAATTATTTTAATTGATAATATCAACATAACATAAGTAATGTTTGCATATTTGCTGCACTGACCAAAAAAAGTTCGATTTTTGTTAGATGTTTATGCTATGGTGTATACGTCTCAACTTTTATGGGCTTTTGCACCAGAGATTGGTGGAAGTACTCATTTTTTCCTTCCTTAAGCAGCAGAAGCTGGGATCTATTTTAGGATTTTTTAATTATCTAAATATAGGATATATATAGATAATTCTTTTGGTAAATCTACTGAAAATAAGCTCAGATTTCAGAAAAAAAATGAAAATAAAAGAGAATATATATATATATATATATATATATATATATATATATATATATATATATATATATATATATATACATACAGTATATACAGTATATATATATATATATATATATATATATATATATATATTCAATATATCATATTTATTATTCAATATATCATATTTATGGTGGCTTGAGAAAATCATAACTTTCCGCCAGACTTTCATACAGACTTATGCTTATTTAACTCAGACTACCAATCTGCCAATCACTGATGACCTTTCAAATTACTAACCACACCCTAGCAACCACTTAAAGCACCCTAGCAACTGTTCCATAGACTTCTATTGTAAAAAACTGCTATTGACTTTATATTGGACATACTAGCAACTCATACTAATGACATACTGGTTCAAACTAGAAACATACTAACAAACATACTAATTCATACTTATTTTATGCTAATGGTATGCTAGTTTATACTAGAAACATGCAAATATAATATGACGATATTAAAGCTTTTAGTCCTTGTGTATGAAATTTTAGGTTTGGGACTGCTTATATGTACTGTACATAGGGCATATACGATCTGTGCCACATGGGACACAAAAATCAGAATGGAGTCACTTGAACCATGCAATGTAAATCTCACAACCATCCTTTCTGTCGGATACACATTTCTTCTCCTTTATCATGATACTCACAACAAAAATATAGCTTTGATTACAGCATCCTCCATCCTTCAGTTAATTTTATTGAAGGATGCATTGGATGTCACTGTCAGCCAGCACGTATCACTTCAGGGTTAGAGTTTTAGTTCCTATATCGGGTTTTCACTTGAATCGATATTTACATAAGCACGCATAAAAGAGATTGCCAGTATCAAACCATTTCTAGTCATTTTTAATGATCCAAAGGCACTCAAAAAATGCTGGAGGTCACTGGGGTAATAATGCAAATCACAGCATGCTTGAACAAGAACTGGCAACATTCAACTGAAACACAAGACTCTAAATATTGTAAAACAAAGAACAAAGGCACTTAAACTAGGCACAGGTGAAACTAATGGCTAACTATGGAAATAAACACAAATATAAACATAAGCTAATAAACTCTAAACTAATAAAATCTAATCTAAGGTAATAGACGATAACAGAAACAAAAGTTTCAAAATAAAAGTTAACAGAATGGAACATAAACCTGACAGCATTTTAAATCAAGTATTTATCTTAAATTGTTTATTTTTTACATTTAGTTACAATATTGAAATGAAATGGACCTAGATTAATAATTGGAACTGGTGTGTTTTTATTAACTTACATTTAACAACGTTTAATAAATATCTGACAAATGTACTACTCATTTTTAGTTGATACTTTATTTAAAGTTACCAGACTGTAATGTTTTGCCAGAAAAGGGTCACCTTTTTGCTTCAAAGTTCTCAACTTTACTAAATGCCTTAAAAGAAGTAGTACAGAGCTATTTTTATTAATATTGATTTGTTTTAAATCTTTTAAAATCCTAAAACTTTTCCATTATTTACAGGTTTAAAATAGAATCTAAATCCCAGATTTGAAATGTGCCGTTCTCTGATGTTTCTATCCCACAGTATGCATATCGAAATAATGCATTCTTGAAGTATTGCAGTTCTCATGAATTCTTGAAGACATGCGGACATGTAGTCTATTGATAAAGGCACACACAGACACACACTCTAATGGGATTAACAGGAACATATTGGGGGCAGGCGGATCAGCTTTAGAGCCCTGTGCTTTCATGAAAGAGGGAGCTGGCCTCAGATTTCTGGGGCCTGAGCAGAAAATCTTTCCTTGAAATGAGTCTGGTATTTTTTTTTTCAGCGGCAGACTCAGCACTCTGTCGTGTCACAGCGTCAACATCCTGCTGCTCGCATGAAATTAGCCTCTGCTCTAAGCTTCTGCCTCAGTACTGCTGAAGAGGACATGATGGAGGCAAAACAGCCAGATTAAAACCCAACCACTTATCTTATTGTGCTGGGGTGTTTCTCCCACCTGGTTTATCTTATCCGGATGCTAAAATCTCAGCAGGTCCATCTCATGTTTTGTAATGATTGGAGGGGGAGATGCTATGTTTTGTCTTTTGTGTGTCCTGTTATTATTTTGTGCAATATACAGTCGTATTTTGAAAATGTCACACTGATTTACATCAATTGGACAAAAACAATGGGTTATTGATGACAGAATTTTTAAATTAATGTATGGGTGAGTGTTAAAAACTGTTTAAAGGGGTCAGTGTTATTTTTCCACCATTTAATTTTATTATTTATTTAATAAATAATAAAATAAAATATTTTCACAACCCTTTAAAAGTTTGGGTAAGATTTTTAAATGCTTTCACTATGCTCACCTAGGCTACATATACAGTGCTCAGCATATATAAGTACACCCCTGACAAATCTCTCTTTTGAATTCACATTTTTAATAGGAAGCTATACTATATTGTATTTGTGCTTATACAATAAATTAGTCAGTACTGAAGCCAAATCTGGAGCTTATCTAACAAAATAACTTGCGATAACAGTCCAAAAACTAGGACAACCAAATTTATATGTTATAGAAAAAAAATTAAATACAAATTTGAATGAGGAAAAATCAAGAAAATTTAGTAGAACATTTTTGTTGAAAATGTTTACATTGTAATTTCTTTTCGCAATATTTTGCTTGAATTTAATTATCTTTCAATTTCTAAATATGCTTGGTGACTAAAATATTATTTTAACAAATGCATCTGTTTAATAAATCTGTTGTTTAAATGCACCAAAATACATATTCATTTTCAAATGGGGTGTACTTAATTATGCTCTGTATTTTATATAAAAATGGTAATCCGTGAAATAGTAATTTCTAATAAATGCTTATGAATCATTTAAATTGCCCATATTATGGGTTTCATATTGAAAAAAAAAAAAAAAAAATATATATATATATATATATATATATATATATATATATATATATAATTTTATTTTATTTATCCGTGTCAATCAAATGCTTTTGATGATATAAAAAAATCTTATTCATGCTGAAAACTTAAAGGTGCAGTAGACGATTGTCTTCAGAAACTGTGCTAGTTGAAAATCTCTACACATTTCAATAGTATTTATTAAAGTAAATGATCTAAATGTATTTGTTTGTATTTTTATATTCTGGGTAAGCTATAAGACTTAAAAATGTTCATCCAATTAAATTTTGTCAGTACCACAATTCCTATAATGCTGATAAGAAGCCCAAACTGTCTGTCAACAAATGTAGATATGTACATCTGAAGCCGTTCACGCAGATCCGCCAATTGCTCGTACTGTACATGTACGTTCACCTCTACACGAAAGAGAGCAAAACAAATGCTCAATCAAAACTTTTTAAAATCCTGAATCATTATTGGAGTTACTTTTGCACGCTGGAGAAAGGATGACACCGTGGCTGAAGTATTTTTTTTTTTTAGACCGGTAATATTATGTTTGAAATATTTTAGTCACACAAATCGTATGTAGATTGTATTGTTTTACCAAAAGGTTATATGCACAAAAGTTTTGTTCAGCCACTGAAATCTTCCAGCAAACGATTGATGTGACTATTTTGAATTTCATAAGGGACCTTTTATAGCATCAGTAATGTAGACTTTTATTTAGTTTAACAACAAAACATAAGTAAATAGCACTATTCTGCCAAGCCTGCTTTACTGAGCTGAAGTTTTACATTCAAAATGATTTTTTCTGCCATTTTTAATGTGCGCTTTTACGATTTCAGGAGGCGTGGCTTTGGATCGCAGGGCAGGGATTGTGTTGCAAAGATATTATGCTCACCGGTTAGCGTTTAGGCTGATCACCTACTGCACCTTTAATTTGTGTTGCATAATATATTTGATTAATAGTAAGTTACAATTAACAGCATTTCTTTATAAAAAAAATAAAATTCATATGAAAATATTACTTTTTCTAATTGAATGCATCCTTGCTGAATACAATTAATAATCCTGATGAGCCCAAACTTTTACAAACAGTTGTTTGTCCATATTATTTGTTTTATTTAGAGCATCTTTAACCCTTTATAGGAAACTTACTAAAATACTCATTGGAAACAAACCTGGAGGGTCCTAGTGGTTTATTACAAGACCGTTGAATTTTTATCACTTTAAAAAATATTTTAATCTGTATCAATATAAAAAATATGTAGTGCGTAAAGGGTTATTTGAAGCATCTTTTCATCTTTTTCAAGGATGTTTCATTTGTTTTTATTGTGCCTCATCTGTTTCCATGTTGTGTCAATAGGGGGCGGTCTCTCCCGACAGGCCTCACTGCCCGTCCAGAGACATCACATACTGTCCAGAGCCCTGCCCTCACACAATTCTCATCACACCTCTCACACTGATGACTCCTACACCTTATACTCATCCACTCATCCTACCGTGACTCACCACAACAGCCTGGATCAGCACTCAGGTAGTGTGTGAATTGAATTTGTAGAGATGAATTCAAATACACACTCCACAAAAAGTCCATTCAAGTTCATCTGTGAAAGCAAAAAGTCTGTGAGCATCTGAACAACGGCTCTTTAACCTATGGTAGCTGCATATAGATATGTTTTCCCAAGTTCCCAAGAAAGCTTTTCTTCTGCACTGGTCCTGAAAGGCTGTGACACACAAACCCAATAGTTGTCTACCAATGTTGGGCATCGCTGAGCATCTTTCGCATAGTTTTTGCAGTTTGTTTCACACAGTCAGCACTGATTGGACACCATTGGTGGCAGTTTGAACATATTGAATCAGAGCTGGGCAGTTGGTGATGCTTATTGGCTGTTATACTTGCTGGCTAATTATTGGCAGATTACTTATTGGCATTATAGTATGACACTTCCTGACAAACCCAGATTAAACACAATCAGGGTAGATTCTATGAACGAAAATAAGGATGAAACTTGTGTTTTTGCCTATGGCTTTAAACAAACTGAATTTGACATGTCTTCTGCACCATTAATACGTGATTGAAGACTATGAATGCTCACTCTGATCTGCTCATTTAATTACTGAACTGTACAAGCAGCAGTTTAGCAAATTATAACATTTAAAAAAAAAAATCTTTTAACTACATTTTAGTTACTGATCATCAATAATCAGTGTTGTGTAAGCTACATTAAAAAGGTAATAGATTACAAATTTATGACTACTGGAAAATTATAATCTGATTACATTGCTAATTCATGTAAAAAGTAATCCGATTACTAATTACTTTGTTACTTCATACTATAAAATATACCTATAGAAATATAAAATAAACTGCAGCTCTTTCAGTAATTGAATATTCACTGAGAAACATTACAATGAGTTGATCACAGCAGCTTGACATATTCAAAAGACTTAACGAGTTCACCCAAAATTCTCTCAGCATTCACTTGTTCAAGCATGTTTTTTTTTTTGTAGCTCAAAAGTTTGTGGGTGCAAGCCGCATGCTTTCATTGGAAATAACCAACTTGTACGAGCAAAAATGCTATATGTGTACAATCCCATAAGCAGCTACGCTTCTCTTCACAATCAGAAGATACCTTTTCTCCCGATCCTGCTCAAAAATTCAATGTAGCCTGTTTAGGCTGAGTTGGGCTGCTGTGTTCTTGGGCGCCGATGTCCTCGGTGATGAGTGTTGTTGTAGAATCGTAGAAGTGCTTGAACAAGTTGCTGGTCGAGTTAAAGCCATCAAAAGTTCTTTAGAGACTGGACAGTGACTGCATTTCACAGCAATAGTTTTGTTTCTTTGCTCAATGAAGTCAAAGAAATGTTTGTATTTCCACAAGAAGCAACCACTCTCGACAGCAATAATGTTAGCTTATGTTCTCCAGCAATTTAAAATCGCATGCTTGTTAACTGACGTTGCAGTGGAAAACGTTATTTAAAAAGAAGTATTATTTTCTTTTAAAAACTAAATTTGTAACGTAGGTAACGCAATTGCATTGACTTAGTAACTGTAATCTAATTGCACAAATTTAAGATGTAATGTTACATTACTACATTTCCCCAAAATGTAATTAGAATACAGTAATGCGTTACTTAGGAATGCGTTACACTCAACTCTGTCAATGATATTGTATTCTGACATAATCACTGTTAGTATCTAATGATATTCTTGTTCTCCTCTCTTTGTCTCATCTTATTCTTGGAAAAAAGGTTTTCAACAATGTTAGGTTGTCGTTATTAACAATATACACTGCTGCTGAAAATGAGCACAAGCCCGTCCCAACAAACACTGATGGGTTACACAGATTTGAACTGTGTCTGTTGCTGTTGGTAAACATACAGTATGTTAGTGCAGTATTTGTTGGCCTTTACTTCAACATTACTTTAAAAGTTTCATAATGACATGGTTGTGCCGATTGAAGAAAGTGAGCAAGGAAACTTCTGGGTTTGTTTATCCATTGTTATAGTGTCTTTTACCCATTTTTGATGAATGTCACAAGCAACTGCCACAAGCTGATACAAACAATTATTTCCTCTCACGAGTTGGTTGTAGTTTGCAGTGTCTTCAAAAGCTACTGTTTAGAGCAGATGTGTGTGTTACAAGGTTCTGCTTTTTTCAGCTTCTTTGATGTCGGTTTGATGTATCACAGCCTTAAGACTCCCCCCTCTGGCCCTATAAAGTGTTTGTGTTTGTTAGGTGCACTTCCCGACAGTCCCAGTGCCCTGTGTAAACCAGAGGATATTTGGGTCCTCAGGACCTCTCTCAATGGTAAGATTTGCCCATTTCCCCAGGCCTCCTTATGTCCCCAAATCGTTTTCTGCGATCCCCATGTTCATCCGATGATCCCAAAGTCTGTAAACCAATGACACACATTCTCAAGTTGAGGTTTTCCCAGCTATTTCACTGGGTTCCTGTCCCCTTAGGCTTTATTTGTTCCATGTTTGTCAGACTACCATCAGCTTGCCATTCACTGTCCGTTATTTCTGCCCGTCCTGCTCAGTGCTTGTATTCCCTTTATGTTTTCTATTTTCTACAGTAGACTGCTTTTGTTCCCTTTGTCTACATACAGTAGATCTTGCTAGAGTATTCAGAGGTCTACTTGGGTCCCAAGATCTGACCCAGAGTCATTTTTATAAGTTTGGGTCTTTTTGGGTCCATCCAGTGCAAAAATGACAATTACTGAGAACAAGGCTTTAGCATATGTCAATTTTAACCCATTTTCAAGGCTTTTTTGGAGTAGAAATATTTGGTTTGGGTTTCTAAATCTAAGCGGACCAATGAGATCTCTAATTTGAAAGTCATAGTTGCAAAAAAAAAGCCCTTATTTGTTGCTCAATCCTGCAGTAAAGCAGAGGTTTATAGGAAACAAAATCTCTTCACCTGTTCATGTTATTCCGCCTTTGTTTTGCTCCTCTTTCTTTCAGCAGGTGACAGGAACAGCATTGGAAGTGCAGGCAGCATGGGCAGCAGTCGCAGTGCTGGCAGTGGACAGAGCACAGAGGGAAACTTTCCAAATAATGGACCCTATCAGTCACCTTCTGCTGTCCAGGACAACAGCAAGGTGGGCTTCAGTGTCACAACATCCAGTGCATGCAATGAAGCCCAAATAATACTTAACCCTTGTGTACTGTTTAAATTGATTACCCTTTTGTTATGTTTGTGGCTGTTTTTGCCCTAATGGCTTCCATTATAATGTATTTTTTGACTGCAAAGCTATGACACCACTAATCATGCATTATTGTTTTTTCCCTATTGGGAAGTGGGAAAATTTGTAATTTCTGCTGTCAAACATCGGTTGGCACCATTAACCTATTAGGCCTGTGCAAAAAAGTTTTTGACTTTTATATGGAGTACTATGAAGTTAAACAGCAGACTACAGTGTACGTGAATAAAAACATTTAACATGTTTAGCATGTTCTGAGAGCTGAGCTGCTTTTTTTCTCTCTCACACACTTACATGCACACACACTACATATAACCATATAATTTTAAGCCAAAAACTAAGCTTTTTTGCACTGCAACTGATGATCAACAGTAAAAAATAACGCATTTTACCTTTTCCCAACTGAGAAAACCAGCAACAATCAAGAATGTCTAATTGTATGGTGCCATAGAGCAGGGGTTCCCAAACTTTTCAGCCCGTGACGCCTAAAATAACAATGCCACTGACTCGCAATCCCCAAATTCCTCGGAGGTGGTTCTAAATATACAAACATTGCTCACACAACAATAGGCCTAAATAAACACAAAAATATGCAACAGTCTAAAAACCATGTCAATTTTATAGTCATTTATTAATTTGTTTAATTTAATATTAATGTCACCTAATGAAACTGCTGGGCACAATGTTTCCAGCACAAGTCTATTCTTGGTTTAATTTTGGAGATTGCCCCTCAGACATCATTCTTAGTGTTCAGTTGTGGCCTGTATTTATTTTTGATGTCTTTGGTTGCCATAAAGCTGTCAGAAAGTTTAACCCGGTGCTATAAAATCATTATGCTGCAGCTGACACTATTGCTGTGTTTCTATCTAATTTAAACAAACCAATCGTTACTACTAAAAAGTACTATTTTTATATTCTGTGGGTTATGGTAAAAATATGGTTAATTATAAGTTTAATAACATTTATTTGACTTTTAGAAATCACCCCCTGTCATTGTTCTGTGACCCTCCCCCAAGAGGTCCTGACCCCCAGTTTGGGAACCACTGTCATAGCGGACAAAATTAGCCACAAGCATAAATAAAGTGTAGTAAATTTCCCCAGGATGTAGTGTACAATTTTTGAAAACTTTCAAAGCATTTTCTCAAAATGTCAAAATAATTTTTGTCACCAAAAATCATTCCATTTGCTGAAACCCAGAGAAAGTTGTGGCCAATGTAAGACTCAAAATAACCCCAGAGTGAATGAAAACATCCTGAACAGCACATACGTGTATAATAAGTGTGATACTACTTATACAATTATTATGCATTGAGAGATCACCATACTCCACTGCGCATCTCCTGCACGTACAGTAGCTGAGGTGTTGTAAGCATTTATGCGTCTGTGTTGGTCTTGTAATAACACTTAATTGAAGCGTTCTGTCAATACTTGGGTTATTATTTAACAAGGTAATGCGGGGATATAAATCAGGTGAGGTGGAAAATGTATACATATGATATTATCATATCATATTTCATTTACCATCTAATTACTAAATATAATTAAAGTTGTAGGGATTTATACAAAATTCTAAATGTAAATTTGGACATATATATATATATATATATATATATATATATATTTTTTTAGAAATGTAATTTATCTTTGATGTAAAGAACATTACAGATGTATTTATCTCAATTAATGATTCATTCGATGCGTCTTTGCATCATAAAACTATTGACTACTCACATTTTTTATAGATTTTTATTTGGTCTTGTAAAAAGGATTTTGCTCAGCATATTAACGTAAACAAACAGTAACTCACCATCAATGGTATTGCCACCTTATTACATAACACAGTAAATTTTACATGCAGCTGAATACGATTACTCATACCACAGCATGTATTGCATTTAAACCACCATAGAACCCCTAATGTTGATCTCATGCTGAGACTCAACCCAATATTCTCAATGACTGAGTGTAAGCATTTATAACAGAGGGCCTTAAATTTGAAATGAAAGAGACATTCATTTATGTTCTTGCTGATAATAATGAATATGCATGTGTAGTAATTAGACTCTCTGTGTGGAGTCTTTCAGTAGACATCTCTCAGAGCTATTTCTGCCAGACAGCTGTTGAGTTAAACTTGACACAGTACTGTGGTTTTCTTCTATTCAGATGCCTCCCTCTGCTGGAGAACTGCTGGAACAGAACCAGGATCCTACAAAACACATGGACCCTCATTCAGGTTAGCACTGTCTTCAGATCTGCTGTTCCTGCTTGCTCTGTTGAAGAATAACAACTCAGCTCATAAAAAAAAAAAAAAAAAATTCTTGTTTGAAAAAGATACATGTCACTATTGGCAACTTTATTAGATATACTTTGCATGTATTCCCTTATGCTGTCAGAAACACCTTCATTCTTTGAGCATTGATTCAACAATTTAGCATATTTGTTAGCTGCACATCCATGATGCCAGTCTCCTGTTTCATTACATTTACATTTCAAGTTATTAAAGTCATCATAGACATTATCATGTTCAAGAAACCCATTTGAGAAGATTGGAGAGTGTTTTTTGTTCTGCTGGTAGTAAGCTGCCATCACAAGATAGATCCACTAGGTCACAGGAGAGGAACATGGTCATCTGTGGCATGTTAAATAATGTTCAGAAAATATCGCCCACACTATTACACCAACAGCAACTGCCTGAAATGATGATACAACACCAGATGTATTAATGCTTTTGTGTTGTTTTTGCCCCTACAATCTGAATAATACAGCAGAAACCTAGACTCATCAGAACAGGCAAACTTTTTCCAATTTTTGTCCAGTTTTGGTGATCCTGTGTTTATTGTAGCTTCAGTTTGTGGTTTTTAGCTGACAGGAGTGCCACCTCTTCAACTGAAGTTCATCTGCTTTCAAGTTGTTGTGTACAGCCCTCCACTGTAACAAGTGCTTTTGTGAGTCACTGTTGTGTTTTTATCAGCTCAAACTAGTCTGGCTATTTTTTGACCTTGAGTGTTAACAAGGCATTTTCTCCCACAGAACTGCTGCTCACTAGATATTTTTTTCTTGGATTATTTTCTTTAAACCCTAGACATTGTTGTGTGAAAATTCCAGTAAATCAGCTGTTTCTGAAATACTCATACCAGCCTGTCTGACACAAACAATAAATACAATGTTTAAAGGTGGCAAATAATGAAAATCCGGAAAGACAATACCAAGGCATAGCTGAATAATATAATATATAATATAATAATAGTTCAGTATGTGGAAATGTTATGGCCTGACCCTCAAACACCATTGTTTCCTCTTTCTTATGAAATACTTCAGGGTAAGTTCTTGGTAAAAAAAAACAGACCAATTAGAATAAAACACAGACTGTAATATTGCAAATGGGTCCATTAAAACACACTTCATAAGCTGCGTTGGATTGGCCACAACATTTTCTAGTGAGAATACAACAATGATAATTTTTTCCCTTATTTTTAAGATTATCTAAGCTTATATTAAATTTACTCTCTATGTGGGATTCTTATTTTGAGCCATGGAGACCGCACTGCACCACTTTTTTACATAGTTTTCTCATGGCACCATGTGCATTAGGGTTGTCCCGATCAGATTTTTTGCCCATGAGTCAGTTGATTTTGAGTATCTACCGATACTGGAACCTGATTTGATACTTCTATAATACATAAAAAAAAGAAAATAGAAAAAACAGATCCAGAATGTTCCTTTATTTTATTTTTTTTATTTAATTCCCATTATTTTAACTTTCAACAACTCTGTTAACAAGCAAAACACTTCTGTGGCGTAGCTTGAACAATCAATTAATAAATAAAATATTTTTTACATGCCCCATAAGCATAAGAAATCCAGGGTTCTCTACAAAGGCAAATGGCAGGTCAATTATTGAGATCATTTGTGCTATCTTGGCTGGGATGTCTCGTGCGTTTTCGCTGTTATTGGGCATTTTCTGTCTTTTTCAAACTCTCCTGCTGTGTGAGGTGACTCATCTTTGGTTGGGTTGCCTGGGTAAATTCACTGTATTGTGTCAAGTTTTTTTTTTTTTTTTTTGAAGTGCCTAATCAGGTTTGTTGTGTTAAATGTAGCCTTTTCCTTTCCACCTTTTTCCTTTCCACCTTTTGCTATGGCAATGTTGTCCTCATCAACTTTATAATACCTCCAGGCCACAGACATACTTGTGCTTTCTGCTTCAAGCTGCTTATGTGTTCTACTTGGCTGGATTTTAACCAATAGCGTCTCTGCAACAAAGTGATGTCATGCCGCACGCATTGCTGTTTCTGTGTGAAGCCAAGAGGTCCAACTCTGTGCCAATGCCTGACTATAGATGTGTTATAAAATAATGAGAATACATATATACATATATGTTCGAGTTTTGATCAGGAGGTAACGTCCGATTCCGATCGAGTCTGAAACCTATTTTTGAAACCTAAAACCTATCGGGCCCAATTTCCAATCTTGGGATCGGATCTAGACATCCCTAGTGTGCATTCACTTCTAGAAAACAATGCTTAGAAATTTAAAACATGTGGCATGTCACTTTACATCTGGCTTCTGGTAGCATTTCTCAGCCAACCACCTTTTCACAGCACATCAGAGCTCAAAATGCAGGATATATGGATTGCACATTTATTCATGTCACCTTGAAGAACATTTAACAAGGCATCTACCCAGTTGGTAGATTACTTTTTGAAAAATTAAGTATTATTGTTTTGCACACATTTATTTTAGACCACAGCATACTTTGTGTGTGTGTGTTGTGTGCATGTGTGTAAATTAGCACAAAGTCATTTTTTAGATATTTTTTTTTTTAATGACATAAGCCACATACCTACTATGTAGATACTGGGTAACAATGCATCTTATTGAATCAGTGCACTATGGTCCCTTTCAAAGTTACTTGAGTCAACTTTTTTCCTGATTCTGATGCTCAGTTTAATCTTCAACAGATCATTCCTGATCAAAGCTTCTACCTACATACATTCAGTTGCTGCCATGTGGATGGTTTTACACTTGCGTTAAAGAGCTGTTGGTCAGATGTACCTATTAAAGTGGCCAGTGAATGTATATATGTATTAGAATATGAATGTATACAATTAGATCAACAGTAATTGTTTAAAGACAATTGAAAGTTGCACTAAATGTAAAGAAACATTAGCAGTGTTCTCTAGCCAACTCTTACAAAATGTCATATCCTTGGGATCTTCCACGTGTTGTCTTGTCCATGAAAAAGACATATTCAGTGACTAGAAATAGAAATATGTCACCTCAGATCCCCCTTAAGCTGTTTGATTCGTTGATCTATTGCATTTTTAAAAGAACATGCTCCACTAGATCACAATAAAGAGCTTAAAATCCCAGCTCATTTTTGTCTGTGAAGAAAGATACTGTGCAGTGTCAGATTTCACTAGGAGGGCAGGACACAATGACAGAGGCAAAACTGTATGCAAGTAAGAAATGGCAAGGAAAAGAGGAGAATTTGAGAGGAAGAAAAGATTATCAATGACATGGACACACAATTTGTAGGGATTTATGCTTGAAGAGGATCTAAAAATAAGCATGAGATCAAGAAACTTTGCTGAAATCAGCTTATTTTATGGAGGTGAGTTAAATAGAGGCTTTTTTACATGCATGTCATTTTCACTGCTGACATTTTTTTTTTAAAAGAGGACATTGGCTTTAGTGCATCTTTATGCCTTGTTACAAGCTATTGAGTTGTCATTATATGATTTTTATTGTTTAATAACTTTTTGCCAAACACATTTTGTCATAAAGATACATAAAGTACAGCATGTCATCAGAAAAGAAAGTGATATGTTTGTCTGTCTCTCACGTGAACACATATTACATAATCACTCATCAGAACAGCCTTAGGCCTTAAAATCCTCTTCATGTCAGCGATTGCTTTTTTGGTATGATCTATTGTTAATGAAGATAAAAAAAACACTGCCTTGGGTCACAGAAGAAATTTTTTTCATGCTGAAACATGTACTTCATCAACATACTGATGTGTAAATGTGCAGGTACAATAACATGCATGAAAGATGGTGCTGTGATTCCACACACCACAGCCTAAAGGCATTAGCCAAGGCTTTCACCAACAGAGATGTGTGTGTGTGTGTGTGTGTGTGTGTGTGTGTGTGTGTGTGTGTGTGTGTTTGTGTGTTTGTGTGTGTTTGTGTTTGTGTGTGTGTGTGTGTGTTTGTTTAGGTGCTCTTGGACGGAGGATTCCTCTGAGCAGCTCCAGACCTGGAGAACAACATGTCATCCATCAACAGCTGCTTCTAGATGGCAGGGTGAGAACAAGGAACAGCACATTACCATACTACTCATATATTTGTTGCAGGATGTATTATTTTCACAGTGTAGCTCACGCTATGCATACTGTAAACCACATACTTGATGTCTATAGAAAACAAAACAAAAAAATACAACTTACAATGCAATGCACTTGATTTGACTTTTCCTGTGTGAAAGATATTTTAGCCATTTTTATTTTAGGTTATTTATTATTTATGTTTTTTAGCTCATCTTTTTATCCAAAAATAATTATTGAGCTAGAGCAGCAAAATAATGATATATTATTATTATTATTATTATTATTATTATTATTATTATTATTATTATTATTATTATTATTATTATGTAATTATTAAGTTATTATTAGAAGTATGATATTACATATTTTTTGCTTGTGTATACTTTATTGTACCATTTTGGGAAATGGGGACAAGGTGGCTCAGTGGTTAGCAATGTCACTTCACAGCAAGAAGGTCACTGGTTTGAGTCCTGGTGTGTGTGGAGTTTGCATGTTCTCCCCATGTTCACATGGGTTTCCTGTAGTAGTATGGGTTTTAGGTTTCCCTCACACAGTCCAAAGACGTCGTATAGGTGAATTGAATAAACTAAATTGGCCACAGTCTATATGTGTGCATGTGAGAGTGTATGGGTGTTTCCAAGTACTGGGTTGCAGCTGGAGGGGGCATCCTCTGTGCAAAACATATGCTGGATAAGTTGGAGGTTCCCTGATGAATAAAGGGACTAAGGAAAATAAATGATTGAATGAATTTCTGAAATGTTTGTCATGGACATACATGACATGATTAGGCAATGCATCCAATACAATAAATGAAACATCAAATTACACATAAAATATCCTATCCCTGTATTGTTACTCATGTACCATTTTATACATCTTTTTATTTTTGATTGACAAAAACGTTATATCATTTATAAATATACTATGAAATAATGTATACTATTAAATTAAATGTACAGTACAGTTGACCATTCAGTTTTTTTCTTCTGTTGAACAAAAACCAAGACGTTTATAAGAATGTTGAGGAAAAAGTGGCCAATTTGGGCTGCTACTTTTTGGACTGTTATATTAAGTTATTTTGTTAGATTTACTCCTAATTTGGTCATAATACTGACTAATCTAATGAATATGCACAAATATGATATAGTAAAGTATATTGTAAGTACAAATGTAAAATTGTTCATATGTATCTGCATACCCGTATTATTAGTAGCAACCTGTACATGTATTCATCTATTGTAAATCTCTTTTCATAGTTAATACAACCTGCATATAATGTTCATAGTACATCCATCTGTAAATATCATCATCGTTTTTCTATAGTTGCACTTTATAACTTATACCTATATCCTGCACTTGCTGCTATTGCATTCCTGATCTAATCGTATCTAATCTAAAGCATCCTATAGTAAATATAAATTTAAAGAAGAGATTTGTATGTGGTGTGCTCATATTTGCTGAGCACTGTTTAGGATGAATAACATGTATGTATAATCATGTACATATGTACAATCTACAAATGCAGCTGTAGTTAGGTTATGTCCTGATGTTGTAAACAATTATAACACACATTATTTTACTTTTACTTGCTGTTTATTTATTTAGGCTGCATTTCTGTATATTAATCAATCAACCAATCAAATTTTATTTATATAGCACACCTCCAAACAAATCAATGCAGTTAAAAGGGCTTTACGGGTAAGAACAAGCAATTGACTCTTTTGTACTGTGCATTATCAAGTAGAAAACTACTAGTCCTTATAGTTAACTTGTAGCAAACTAGCCATTAGAATAATAGATGTAAACATAGCAAAACAAAATCATCTATTTTTCGTTCAGTTTTCAGTAGTATGCCTATTAGCGTTTTCACAAACTAGCGAACTGGATGTAAATGACCTTTGGTCTTTGACATCACTGACCCAATGTGCTTTTCTGCATAATGCTCAATCATTTCTTTGTTGTAGGATGCCGAGGCTATTTACCAGTGGCTGTGTGAGTTTCAGCTGGAGCAGTACACATCTAATTTCCTCACAGCTGGTTATGATGTGCCCACAATCAGCAGAATGACCCCCGAGGTGAGCCGTCTTTTGCTGTGCAGCAACGTTTTAAGTATGCAGGCTTATTTCTGCCACAGCACATTGGTATTCACAACCGCTTTCAGTAACATTTCAAAGCCGAGCATAACTGTTATCATCTTTCTGAGATGCTTCTGAAGTGTGTCAATCCGTTTCTTTTATGCTTTTAGGATCTCACCGCTATTGGTGTTACAAAGCCTGGTCACCGCAAGAAGATCTCCATGGAAATTGGCAACTTGAATATACCGGAGTGGTTGCCAGATTACATTCCGGTAATCAGTGATATATTTTCATATGCATAACCATTTTAGCTATTTAGAGATACATACAGTGCTCAGAATATATGAGTACACCCCTCACAAATCTCTTATTTATATTTATATTTTCTGCAGGAAGCTTTACAATATTACATTTGTGCATATACATTAGTTTAATCAGTAATGAAGCCCAATCTGGAGCTAATCTAACAAAATAACTTGCAATAATGCTTAAAAAATGATGAGCCCAATTTTATATGATAGGGAATATTCTTAACTAACATTTTATTTTTTGCTAAATTTTGCATGAATTTAAATGTAAGGGTGCGGTGGTGGCCCAGTTGTTGGTACTTTCGCCTCACAGTAAGAAGGTTGGTGATTTGATCCCCGGCTGAGTCAGTTGGCATTTCTGTGTGGAGTTTGCATCCATTCCCATGTTCATGTGGGTTTCCTCCAAGTGCTCTGGATTCCCCCACAAGTCCAAAGACGTGCTATCGGTGAATTGAATAAGCTAAATTGCCTGGAGTGTATGTGTGGGTGTTAATGCAAGACTTTATGGGTGTTTCCCAGTGCTGGGTTGCGGCTGAGAAATAGTTAAAAGTATTTCTTTTCAAAATTGGTTGTACTCTTTTATGCTGAGCACTGTATTTGGGCTGAATCTAAGATTATGTATATGAGCTGTGTTCAAGATTATGATATGCATAACGGGTGTTTTAGTAGTTGATAGGAATGTGTTTTTTTGTAAACAAAAATGATTGCTATTGGTCAAAAACATTCAACTGAAGTGAAATAAAATATTCACAAAATATGAAAAGCTAAAACTAAAGGAAACTAACAACAGTTACTGAAAAACGAACTGAAATCAAATAGCAATTAGCATAAACAATAATAATAACAATTCACTTTATTTATGATGCACTTTATTTATGATGCACTTTATTTGAACTCAGAGCACAACAAGAAAAACAACATCAAATAAAAATGTAACCCTACAAGCTTACAAACATTCCAGTAACAAGCCAAAAGTCACACCTCAATAATCAATAAAACAATCAAAAAATAAGCAAAAAGATTATAAACTGCATATATATGACTGTGATAAACACAAATTAAATAGTTTACTGAAAAGTCTTTACTGAAAAGTCTTTATGAACGGCTTTCCTAATAAGTCTATTTACATAATTTACAAAACGTGCAATGCAAATTATATATATATATATACATATATATATATATATATATATATATATATATATATATATATATATATATATATATATATATATATATATATATAGATGAAGTCAGAATTATTAGTACCCCTTAGATTATTTTCTTTTTTTTTTAATATTTTTTAAAATATTTTATGATACATTATATTTATATGATATGTATATTATACATTATGATATATTATATATTATGATATATTATATATGAGCAGGTACATTTTCACAGTATGTTTGATAATGTGTTTGACTAAAAAAAAGCGGTTTTTAATTTTTTAAACACCATTTTAGGGTCAAAATTATTAGCCCCCTTAAACTATATATTTTTCGATAGTCTACAGAACAAACCATCATTGTACAATAACTTGCCTAATTACCCTAACCTGCCTAGTTAAACTAATTAACCTAGTCAAGCCTTTAAATGTCAATTTAAGCTGTATAGAAGTGTCATGAAAAATATCTAGTCAAATAATATTTACTGTCATCATGGCAAAGGTAAATTAAATCAGTTATTAGAAATGAGTTATTAAAACTATTATGTTTAAAAATGTGTTGACAAATTCTTCTCTCCATTAAACAGAAATGGGGATAAAATAAACATGAGGGCTAATAATTCAGGGAGGCTAATAATTCTGACTTGAACTGTACATATGCAGAACTTGTTTTAATTTAGCATCAGATTTTGCAAAGGAGTTGTTGGTACCATTGCTCAGATAGGCTAGAAAATGCACATGCACTTTACATTAATCAGAGCAAATAAAACGAGGGGATCTATTTACATTTCTGTTTATCTTTTTTGTTTCAGTCTGATATTGGGAAATGGCTCAGTGCTATTGGGCTGCCGCAGTACCAGAAAAAACTAGCTGAGAATGGATATGACTCCATAAGCATAGTGCAGGATATCACATGGGAAGATCTGCAGGAAATTGGCATCACTAAGCTGGGTAAGTAAGGGGTGCATTAAAAGTGATATTGTACATTAATATGATTCTTTTAAGTAATGTTAAGGATGTTTTTGTGTTTTTGTTCAACACAGTTGGATTTATTAGGTCAAAAATATAGTCATATAAATAAATATAAAATTGTAGTTTATTCCTGTAAAGGCTTTAGTGCCACATTATGATTAAAAAAATGTGGGTTCACGCACGCTTTTAGTTGGTATCTTACTAGTGCTAAGTATCCCAGGGCTTGTGGAAAGCCTGATACATTTTGTTTTTGTGTTTATTTTAAATATGGTGTAACATTATTAATGACCTTACTATGACTTTGTTAAATTAAATTATGAGCTTCTTGTAATTTAATAATTACCCTAAGCATTTGAGTGGTAGATAGTAGGTAGTGTTCACAAATGTACTTAAACATTACACTCAAGCCAGATAAACAGCTGTGGACTAAAATATACTGTATTAGTAATGCTTATGTACAGTTGAAGGCAAAACTAATAGAACATTTTTATTCTTTTCTTAAATATTTCCTGAATGATGTGTAACAGAACAAGGACAATTTCACAGTGGGAAGTCTTATTTCTTTAATTTGACTGGAATAAAATTTTAAAAAATGTTTTTAACCCAATTTAGCATTAATATTATCAGCCCCCTTAAGATATATACTTTTTCAATTGGCTACAGAATAAACCACTGTTATCCAATCACTTGCCTTGCTAACTTTATAACCTAATTAAGTCTTTAAAATTATTTGAATACTATCTTGCAAAATATGTTTTCAGATATTATGTACTGTCACCATGGCAAAAGCAAAATAAATGAGTTATTAGACAAAAGTCATTAAAATAATAGGGTAAAAATGGTTAAAAAAATATCTCTGTTAAACAGTATTTGGGAAATATTTGTTTAAATAATTACAATTTCAGGTTGAATTATTTTGATTTCAACTGTACTGATTCCATAAAGAAACCATAAAGTTTTCTAATTCCTTAACGTTTTTTTCTAGGTCACCAGAAGAAGCTGATGCTGGCAGTTAAGCGGCTCAGTGATGTACAGAAGGCCCGTAAGACCCAGGCCGAGGGTCAGGCATTGCTCCAGCACAGAAAAGCTCCTCCTGCCCTTGAGCTTGTGGCCATTGAGCATCACGACACCTCTGACTGCCCCTCATCACCCTTGTCACCAAAGATGCTCACCTTTCAGGACAGTGAGCTAAGCATGGAGCTGCAAAACGCCATGGCACGCAGCGGATACTCTGGAGGACAAGACGGTCTCAGCATGAGCGGAATAGCCATGCGTCTTAGTCAAGAAAGCATTGGGATACGATCAGGAGGGTCAGGACGCTCGCAAGAACGCCCGATGGCATCAGTGACCCCTCACAGCCGGTCACAAGAGAGCTTGGGTAGTTCAGACAGCAGTCCCAGCAAGGAACAATATGCCATAAGGGAATCTCAGGATAAAAGCCAAATATCACCAGTCAGAATGGCGCCAGTTTTGCCACTACAACCTCATCCAAACTCTTCCAGCAGCAGTCCGTCAAGAACCCCACCCATATTGACAGGTAAAACAACACGTTTCGCATATCCGCCAATTCACACCCAATCCAGACCAGTGGTTTCTCCATCTCAACCCAATCAAGGATCACCTCTCCAGAGGGGCTTTAGCTACCTGCAGCATCAAAACTGTGATGCTAACAAGCAAAAAAACACAGGTCCAGTCAGAGCCGCGCAGCCAAACCAGGACACATCATGCTCCACTAAAAAGCGAACTCAGAGTCTTTCTCGCTACGCCATGTCAGATGGAGAGAATGAAGACGATGATGTCTCAGCTCCTACCATGACGTCTGCCAATGTGGCTTCTTACGCCACACTCACTCGCAAACCCGGCCGCAGTCAACCATCTTTCGCCTTGAGTGATCGCCATGTAGGCCGCAGTCATTCCTTTGCCATCCGTGCCAAGAGGAAAGGTCCACCGCCTCCCCCTCCAAAGCGGCTAAGCTCTGCCCAAAGTGGAGTAACTTCATGTGGGGTTGAAACAGAGAGTGCTGGAAGTGTCCGAAGCATTGCAGCTCGTCTAGAGAGCAGTACAGGAAGCCCCAGCAAGACATGCAACAGCCCTGTTTTTAAAGCCATGTCTCCAGCTACTCCTCCAAAAAATACAGAGAACCGTAGGAGGACCACTAGCGACTGCTCTACATATGAAACGAAGCATGCAGATCAAAACGTTAGTCCTTTGAGGCACCAACAAGGTTCTGGTTCATCGCAGGAGAGCATACCTTTTGCAGAGGAGGGCAAAGTTACTATTAAGCAACGGACCAAATTAGCATCCGCTAAGAGCGAGGCCGAGGCTGCTGTTGATATTCTGAAGCCAGCACAATCGATCAAATCATCCCTAGAGGTGCTCGAGTTTAACTTAAAGGAATCAGATACGGTCAAAAGGAGACATAAGCCAAAAGAGTTGCAGATGAAAGGTCAGGGCATCAGCGCACAAATAGGAAATGAGAGGGCCACAGAGACTGAGATGGTCTTGCAGTGCATGCAGAATGGCGGATTGAGGAAAAATCCTCTTAAATCTGGCCTCGCTCCAAAACCGGGCTCTCCGCATAAACCTCCAACCCCTTCTAAGCCCATACGCCATTCCGCTGCAGCCACCTCAGGTACTGCTATGACTTTTTGTATGTTGGAAAATTCATTATTTAAAGAAATGCATCCAACTTTCATTTTAAAGAGTGTATGACAAATGACGTCTGATTTTTTTGAGCTGCTTATTCATATGTGCTTACAACACACGTTTGGGTTCAGTGCAGTTTTTTTAAGCGTGCAAAACATACACAACATACAGTAAACACAAAAAAAAACACACACAAAAACAATAGAACAATGTATAAAAAACAGTAATGAAATATAAAAAATATTTAGAATAATATAGATAGTATTTACACAGTATTTGCATTCATTGTCATAATAATTATAATATTAATAATAATATAAATAATATATATATATATATATATATATATATATATATATATATATATATATATATATAATACTAAAGTTATACTATGATAATACTAAAGTTGATGTTGTTGAAAATAATATTTTGTGATGAAATCAAATCAAATCACTTTTATTGTCACATCATCAGCGATAAGTGAAAAGCTTAGATGCTGTCAATATACAGAATGCAAAATACAACAACCTACTCCAAAAAACAAGATAATCAAAAACAGTACCCCATTAGCAATGTTGACATTAATTCATTTTCTTTTCGGCTTAGTGCCTTTATTAATCTGGGGTTGCCGCTGCAGAATGAATGGCCAACTTATCCAGCATACTTTTTACGCAGCGGATGCCCTTCCAGCTGCAACCCATCACTGGGAAACATCCATACACTCTCGTTGACACACATTGTGCTACCTGCATAAAAGACAATTAATACATGAAAGACAAGAAATGCATTAAGAAAAACAAACTACACACGTAGACACAGATAGACAAGTTCACAGTCGAAAAGGTGTAAACAGTTTGACTGTTGGTGAAAAATGATTGTAGGCAATAAGGTTTTAAGGAAGGATTGGTTAAAGTGCAGTGCATGCATGCTGTCGATGACGCAACAGTGATAATAATAATAATAACAATGAAGGTTGATAATAATGTACAGGGTAATGTACAAAAAAAGTAATACACATATAGATTTAAAAATCATAGCATGTGTTAATCTGAAAATGAATGTTTAAATCACTGTATGCATTTTATTATTTCAATAATTAGCAGGCTGTCTGATGCCAAAAATATTTTAAGCTTTCCAATTTGAAATGGTATGAGTACATTTAAATTAGTTTTGTTGAAGCCAGAAAAGCTTTAATTGATTTTTTATTTTATTTTTTTGCCTTACCATTTGATTTGCTTATTTTTAATAAAAGATGTGTTTTTAGTTTATTATAGTGCATGTGACATTGTTTTTAAATGTTTAAAATATAAATATATTTATTTATTCATGTAGCGCCCTCTTCCTTTTTTATTTAGTTAATCAGAACAGAACATTCTAAATTATAGTTTAGCGCCAAATACAAGCTCATAGCACGATACCAATTCAGATTATTAATAAACACAACCAATCTGGTACAAAATTACCTTTTCTAAATTTACTTAAACACAAAAAAGCATTAAATGCATACAAACGTAAAAATATATTTATATATTTTTTAAATAAAGATTTTTGTTTTTCTCCTTTTGCAAACTCAACTAAACATCACTGTAAAACTATTCTGTAATGCTTACTGCTGTAAACTGTTTACTTGAATCAAATTAAATGTTCTAGTCATCTCAATATTTTTAGTCAGTTTGACTAATTAAAATTAAAATTATTATTAAAATAAGTTGAAGTAAAATAAAAGCATTTGTTGTCTTGACTTTTTGTCATATGATTTTTACAGCACAACATTGCATTTAGCAAAGATCAAAAAAATAGTCCAAATAATATTAATAGATAAATAAATGCATTTACACTACTGGTCACACTTTTGGGGTCAGTTTGTTTTTTTTATTATTAATTTTATTTAATATTTTAAACAAAATTATCCTATTTATCAAGGCGGCATTTATTAATTGTAAAAAAATAGTTAAATTTTTAAATATTTATTAAATATTTATTTCTCATTGTATATATGTTTAAATATATTTTTTACTCCATTTATTATTACTTTTATTACTATTACCATTAATAATAATAATAATAATAATAATAATAATAATAATAACAACAGTAATAATTATTATTATTAGAGTGGTTTCTGAAGGATCATGTGACTCTAAAGACTGGAGTAATGAAGCTGAACATTCATCTTAAAAATCACTGGAATAAATTGTTAAATTAAATGATAAACTACAGTTTTTTATAGTACAATAACATTTCACAATTTCTCAATTTGTACTGTATTTTTTATTAAATAAATGCAGCATTGGTGAGCAGAGGACACTTATTTTAAAACCTTTAAAAATCCTACTGACCCCAAACTTTTGACTGGTAGTGAATGTAATATTTATTTATGTAAAAATATAATTATTTATTATTTCTATTTCTATTTCTATTATTTCTATTCTATTAATTTTTTTTTTCAGTTAGCAGAAACGATTAATAATTTTGGATGTGCATTCAGTATATAAGGGTTTTGAATGAATATTTCTTAGCCTGCATTTCAAAAACAAAACAAAATGAAAATACAGTACAGCAGACAACTAATTTTTAATTTAAAACCTTGGTTGCAGAAAACAAGGAATTTGTGATGGAACATCCAGATTTTTGTTTTGCAACATTTATTATCATTTTGAAACTCTAAAAGCCTCTTTTCACAGTGAAAAACTTCCACACTCCTGAAAGCTGAAAGTATTCCCTCTAGCATAAACTTTCCTAAAGTGTGTGTCATGTCATGGATAAATGCTGATAATATCAAGCATCCCTATTATGAATCATTCTGTTCTCATTTGACCATAACAACACTAACTGATGCCTCTCTATCAGAAAACTAGCCTCGAACCTTCACAAATATATGCCTGTGATTTTAATTGTACCAAATGAACGTGTACAAAGTCTATTAGCAATGTTTGTGTTTCTACTAATTGTTTGTTCTCTTTCCTCTTTTCAATCTTCTTCAGGAGTGTCAATGAGTGTTGTCCAGAGCGTGGCGTTTGCTGTTTCTCCTCCATGCAGTCCTCTGGCTTGCTGTCCCCCAAATGCAACACCTCAAGGTCAGTCAGCGCTGACAGCTGAAGGCCAGAATGTGCTAGTTCACAAACGGCTTGAGCAAACCAGCACATCTCTACAAGCAGCGCTTCAAGTTGTGGAAAGGAAACTGGCTCAGGACGACCCAGCAAGCAGGTAAACTTTTTTGTGTGTGTGTGTATCTGTATCTCAATGTTACTTAGTAAAAGAAGCACTAAACAGCTTGAATCCTTAAGGGAAAATTCTCTATTTTGAAAAGACAGTCTTGCAGATGGTCCTATATAACTGGATGACCACTTGGGAGCCTGCTGGGAAATCTTGCATTGAGTAATTCAACCTAAAAGTAGTGTCTGCTTTTCCTTTGACTCTTTGATGGTTTGTCTGCAACGAAGACAGATTGTTGATATCCTTATTTCATGGATGGAGAACAGATGGTGTCTCATTTTGGACTTTCATTTGACTACTTTCCTGACAAATTCACTGTCAGCAGAGTTGCTGGTCAGTCTGTCAAACCTCGTTTTGCATTTTGAACAGATTTAGCTCATAGCGTAGCATATGCTAATCCTTAAAACCCCATCAGAGGTTTTTTATTTTGCATATATGGATGCTGTGAATCTAATCCTAACAGTCACGAGTTTTGAAACGGAGGACTGAATACTGCACTGTATTCACTGTATATTTTATTCTGATTATTAGTGTCATGATTTGACCATTTTCTCAATGCATTGAGCACAAATCCTGACAATGCGTTTCCTTTCAGTCAAGAATCAGTTTTAAAGAGTTCCCAAAGTCATTCTGAAAATCCTGAAGTGAAGGGGAAATGTATAAAATAGTTTTTTGAGACCAAGACAGCTCCTGAAAAGAAATAATATCCTTTTAAAAATGGAATATGGGATTTATTTTTGTTTTAAATAGTTTATCGATACATTACTACAAAATTGTGGCTTATGTGGGTGAAAGTTTTCAACTATCTAACAAAAATGTTTTAAAGAGTTTCATTTTCAACTCGATTAACTTTTTTTGGTGATTGCACAAACTAGTTTAATGTTCTGAGAAAAGGCATTAAAATACTGTAAAAATATAGTCAAACCAGGATCATTGGAAATACAGTTGAAGTCAGAACTATTAGCCCCCCTTTGATTTTTTTTTAAATATTTAAAAATTTTATTTTTTAAAAATATTTCCCAAATGATGTTTAGCAGAGCAAGGACATTTTCACAGTATGTCTGATAATAATTTTTCTTCTGGAGAAAGTCATATTGGTCTTATTTCGGCTAGAATAAAAGTTTTATTATGTTTAGAAATGTGTTAAAAATCTTCTCTCCGTTAAACAGAAATGGGGTGAAAAATAAACAGGAGGGCTTATAATTCTGACTTCAACTGTATTTCCAATGAGCCTGGTTTGACTATATTTTTACAGTATTTTAATGCCTTTTCTCAGAACATTAAACTAATTTGTGCAATCACCAAAAAAAGTTAATCGAGTTGAAAATGAAACACTTTAAAACGTTTTTGTTGGATGGTTGAAAACTTTCACAAACCCAGAGCAATAAATTTTACATTTTGGAAAAATGTAAACTGTATTGCTCTGGGTTTGTTTTATTGCATGTTTCAGTTACCACTAGAGCAGTGGTCCCCCGCATTATTATCACCGCGGACTGGCAACTGCTTGACATTTTTACCGTGGGTGGGGCGATGGGTAGATTTCTAGGCGACCATCAACTGTTTTCTCAGAGGATGAAAAGCTGACAAAATATTGCTGCAACTGATACAAGTTTTATTAATGGAGAAAATTAAAAAGCACTGCAGTGTTTGGGTGTTAGTCTACTAAAATATATTCCATACAAAGTACAGTATATAGCTGATCGACAAGTTCTTGTCATGTGGCTCTATACAAGCTCGCAGCATTTAGATGTTTTGTTGGGTAGCCTGGGAGGCGTGAGCACATTTCAGCACTTGCATGTGTTGCTCCAAATAAACGCGCACAAGCCGTTCACCTCCAATGAAAAAAAAAAAAATAAGAACGTTCGGAAAAGACGTGATATGCAAACTGCCCCAAGGCCACCATCATTTATGATTTCCATCAGTTGATCTTGCACAGACAAATGGGTTGTAAGGCAAAAAAATATAATAATACAAGGCACACCACACTGCCTTTTTTGTTGACAATAGAAGTGCGGTGTGCTTTTTACAGCAGTTTTTTTGCGACAGACTGTGCCCGTCAAGAAGCATTTTGCATTCAAAGCATTCAGTTGGAAAAAATGCTGTTGCGTCGTCACTAGAGAATGCTGTATACGTTTTTGCAAATCCAAAATATGTTGCTTTAAAGTATGTTTTCTTGTATGAGAAACAATGAAAATAATACTTTAAAAGAACCACATGAAAATAATACTTTATTCATTAATAATATGTCTCTTTAATAATGTCGATAATTAGTGTGAAAGGGGACAAACTTGTTTGGTGTCTGCTCACTGGCAGTATGCATACTGCCCTGTAACTTTAATTTTACCTAGAAACTGTAGTCAAGCATATGTTGATGTATGATTTTGTGTTTTCATGGAAATGTAGACACCAATTTCTAATTACAATCCAAATGAACGTTTTTCTATTTTATCTGTTTAAAAATCATTTTCTGAAAAAATGTCTGTGATTTCAACAGTAAGCTAACTGTCAAATGTTACAATAAACACCTGTAATCTGTTTTATTGATAAATGGTGAATAACCAACTACTATTTGGTACAACTACTACCAATTACTATTGTTAATATTATTATGGTTTCTTTATTAGGTTCATCTTAGGTCAGACAATAAAATATACATAATATTGATACATATAAATATCACATTATAACAGTTTATATATATATATATATATATATATATATATATATATATATATATATATATATATATATTTCATACTTTAAAAGATTGTTATATGACAAAAAATGTATGAAATATTGTAATATTAAAAAAATTCTTTCACGTTCCTATTGTATTTTTAATGGTTAAATTTCAGCAGCCACAGCTGTCACTTTTTACAGTAAATTTAATGGATTTTCTTTGTGTGTTTTTTTTACTTTTAAAGTATTAAAAAACTAAATAAAAAAGAATAGTTTTTAATCAGTAATCATAATTAGTGATGTGCCAATAAAACATTTTTAAAAGTATCTCCAAATCTGTTGTAAGACTTAACATTGTGATCATTGATAAAGAAAAAAAGCATTTATTTGAGACCGAATTTCTATTTGTAAAATGACAATTAACCAATTTAATGCATTCATGCAACAAAAATCATGCTAAATTATTTATTAAAAATGTATCTAAAACGGTATCTAATGTAATGTATCAAGTACATTACACATGTTGTCCCACACTAAATTACCAACGGTCATATGTATGTATTGTGTATATGTATGCTTGTCTGTACACTACCAGTCAAAAGTTTGGGGTCGTTTTTTTATGTTTTTGTTCATGTCAAAAGAATTGTTAAATATTTATTTATTAAATATGTATTTATTACTTATTGTAAGTATTTTCAAATGAATTTATTAGTCCAGTCATTCTTGCTTTTATTATTTATTACCATTAAAAATATTAAAATTAATAATAATAACTATAATAATTAATATTAGAGTGATTTCTGAAGGGTCATGTGACTCTGAAGACTGGAGTAATGAAGCTGAAAACTCATTTTTAAAATCACTGGAATAAATTGTTAAATTAAATGATAAACTACTGTTGAACAGTTATTTTATAGTACAAAAGCATTTCACAATTTGCACTGTATTTTTGATGAAATAAATGCAACCTTGGTGAGCAGAAGACGCTTATTTTGAAACATTTAATAATCCCTCTGACCCCAAACTTTTGTCTGGTAGTGTAGATACAGTACATCTGATAAAAAAATATGAATGTTTTTCTATCACAGGTCATGGGCATTCCCACTCTACATCCACATTGCATTAAACTTGACTAACCTATTATCCTTTCACAATGACAGTCTTCACATTATTCCTGCTCTTCTTTCCCTCAGGGGCATTAACACAGTGAAGTCAGCGGGGAATATTCTTGATGATATAGGGAACATGTTCGATGATCTCGCTGACCAGCTGGATGCCATGTTGGATTGACCTCCTGTAATTCCTCAAAGCATTGCGCGGGGCCTTCACATGGAAACTTCTAGATGCTTTAAGCACTCACTCTTCATATTCTGTTTACATCATTCTTCAGAAATGAATCAGGCGAATCAATTACCTGCAATGAATAATTTGAAGCCTCAGAACTCCTGTGGATGTTCACTAAACTTGTACTTCTTACCACACTGTTTCTGCGTCTTTATCTTGCTCTTGACAGAAAGGATTGCAGAATGTAAGCACTTACTTTTCAGATCTTCTGGACTCCAACAGAGACTCTTTTAATTTCCTGTTGTGCTCAGATCAAGCCTTGCAGTTGGCCTCCAGCAGATGGATATACGGTGTGAAATCTGTGTGCTCTGAGATTCACCGTTCCTCACTTTTGTTTTCCGCATCCTTTATTCTCTGTTTAAGTTAAGCAATAACACAGCTGATCAAAAACAACAAAAAACTGTTCATTATTTGTGGAATGACCCAAAACCTCATGGACCAAGTACGTTTGACTGAACTCTACATTCATCGACTGAAAAGGTCTGTGTCCTGCCAACAGATTCAGTGCTGTACAGTATTGTTGCACTGTATATTGTGCGTTTCAAAGGTTGCATAATTCAACAAGAGCTTAACGTGTTACATATTAATAGAGGAATAGTATATTTTGATGAGCGGTCTGTTTTGGAAAAGAAATCACATTGTATGGATTACATCTATTATATATTTTTGTATCAAAATAATTTATTTGATTTGGTTCAGGTTAAAAAGGGACAATCGCTCTTTGTGAATGCTGTCGTTCTAGATGAAACCAGGCAAACAAAAATAGAAACTGTTGCAAAGCATTATATTTTTAGGCTTAACTGACCAAAGGGAACTATCATTTTAATAAGTCTATGTGGTTTAAACCAGTGCCAGTTCTTGATGTCTGGGGGCTCTATGGAAAACTTTTTCAGTGCATTAATCTAATTTAATCTTCTGCTCACCAATGCTGCGTTTATTTCATCAAAAATACAGAACAAATTGTGAAATGTTATTGTACTATAAAATAACTGTTCAACAGTAGTTTATCATTTCATTTAATCTTCATTCCAGTGATTTTTAAGATGAATTTTCAGCTTCATTACTCCAGTAATAATTTAATTTGAAACTACATAAAATAAGAAAGCAGTTATTTAAATGTAATAAATATTGAACAATTTAACTTTTTTTTTCTTCATTTAATAAATGCCGTCTTGATGAACAGAATAATTTTCTTAAAAAAAAAAAAAAAACTTATCGCAAACAAACAAAGCACATCTATCATTCATTCATTTTCTTGTCGGCTTAGTCCCTTTATTAATCCGGGGTCGCCACAGCTGAATGAACCACCCACTTATCCAGCAAATTTTTACGCAGCAGATGCCCTTCCAGCCTCAACCCATCACTGGGAAACATACACACACACATACACACACACACACACACACACACGCACACACTCATACACTACGGACAATTTAGCCTACCCAATTCACCTATACTGTACCGCATGTCTTTGGACTGTGGGGGAAACCGGAGCACCCGGAATGCACCCGAAAGGCACTTTGCACCCGCGAAGGCAGGGAGAACATGCAAACTCCACACAGAAACACCAACTGAGCTGAGGTTCATACCAGCGACCCAGGTACCTTCTTGCTGTGAGGCGACAGCACTACCTACTGCGCCACTGCCTCGCCGCACACCTATCATAAGATCCCATAACACTGCATTAATTGACAAGTTGCCTATTATATCCTTTATTAAGAGAAAGAGCACATTGCTTTAAAACAGGGGTATGGAACTTATGGCTTGGGAGCTACATAAGGCTCTTTGACCAAACATGTGGCTCTCCAGCTGTCTTTCTTTGATAATATTTTAAAGTTTAAAATGTATAACTGTCATCAGAAATCCGTTTTTTATTGAAATTACAATTACCTTTTAGTGTATTTTTTTTTTTTTACAGCAAAATGAATGAGAACTCAGTTCAAAATAAAAGGCCGTTTCAACCATTTTGCATGTGTGGCGCTGTGGAATAACTTGAATCATGACAACAATAAAGGGCAAGCAACTTACATTTCTACAGTAACTCCGTGCACGTAAATTCAAACAACATTCATGAGTGGCGATGGCGAAAACAAGAAAATTCTAGGAATTGTCCTTTTTTCACATGCATTGTGATGCATCATATTTGTTTATTTTTGAGTTGTGCATGGACATAAGGAAAGGTTTTTTAAGCCTGTATTATATATATTAATTTTATTTATATTATATTATTATTATTAATTTATTTTTTTTTGCTGAAAAAAGGTTCCCGACCCCTGCTTCAAAGTAAAGGTACAGAATGTGGCATTGTGTCACCGGAAGCCCAAATCAAAATCTTCTCTGAAATGCACATTTGAAATGAAATAATCTTTGAGAACAACAGGGCTCCCTGGTTGGTTGGAGGTCCTATGCAACTAGTGTACAATGAGAACTGGCGCTAGTTACCACACACAGGATTTATAGAATCCAAAAAAGAAAAAAACTATGGATGACTTAATACTCCAGTACATTGGACAGGCACTTTTACCATGGGAAAAGTACGATTTATTAATAGCAGTGACGTTTAAACAGTCACAGTTCTAATCAGACAGTTTGGTCATACGGACACATCACTTGAGCATTCATTTCCCTTCTGTGACTCTTGTGCACTTTTCTCCACATGTGTGTACTTTATGTACTCGATACCTGTTAATGTATACATGTATTGCTGCATGTACTGTACACTGGCAACACAACCAGTACTTGACTGAAAGAGACTTTCTCTAACTGTTATATATGTATGTATATATAGTGTGTGTGTGTGTGCGTGCGTGTGTGTGTGTGTGTGTGTGTGTAATAATTGTGACAAGACAGATCATCCTGTTCTTGCATGCTTTTTTCTAAGCAGGTTTTGTATTATGTGGCATAATGGCATTTTAATGGAGCGCTGGTGCTACAGTATCATTGAAATCAGCACTGTGTACTTTATTTCCCAAGTTCATTCCTTACCGCAGTGCTTTTTGTGGCATTGTCAACATTTTAAAGACATGGTCTGCGGCTTTGCCTGAGCACGACCACCAGTACTATACAAGAAAAGAAAAAAAAAAAAAGGCCTCGAATTGATCTATTTGAACTACTTGAAGTATTATGTTTAATAAATGACAAAGCATCAAGAGATCAGTTCTTGAATTGTGTGACTGCTGTCATGGCTTTTGGTTTGTAAAACCAGGAACTGTGCCATCCAACTTATGGGGTAGAAATGATTTTTGGTTTTATTGTAAAGACAGACACCAGAAACAGTGGTGGGGGGGGAAGTGTACATTAATGGAGAAACACTAGAAAGGGAGAAATGTGCAGGAAAAGAAGGAAGCATTTAGCTGTTGATCCAGCTTTCCTGACATTTGGTGTAATCGCAGATCTCATCTGGTTTGAACCACAGGTTGATCTCAGTGTTGGCACTTTCCACAGAATCACTGCCGTGAATAATGTTCCTGAAGAGAAAGCATTTCAAATATTAGCAAAAAAAGTAATGAAAATGAAATTGCTAAACAAAATAGGCTGTAAATTAAAAACAAAACGTTGATGGCACATTTTGTCACAACATTTTTAATATGTTAAAAGCTGGCCTATTATGCTTTCTCATTTTTTGAATGTTGTATATGTGGCATAAAAAACCTAAGATATTAGAAAGATCAAAGATTACGCCAAAAAGGAGATAAATTGTTTGTTTGTTTGTTATTTAAATCTCTTTTTTTTAAAAGCTACAACAAATGTCTCATTTAGCCGATTATGGAAATGTGAATGGTTGGGAGTGGGGAGGGGCAAAAACTTTAATAACTCAGGCATGTCTTGCTATATACGTGCATGCCTAAAATGTTTCTCCATTCGATATTATTAGGAATGAATTGATATTTCGATGATCAAATATTTGTAAGATTTGTATTTCTTAATGGTAATATTGTTTGACTAATGATGACTAAGGGGTTGCAGTGGAGAGATTAGAGCAAGCGGCAACATCCCGCTCTCTCTCATGAAGCGAATACAGAAGTAACTGAAACTGCAATTCATCAAAATTCCGCCAGGCCTGGCTCCAAAAAAAAGAAATGAAATGATATACGTGTATACCATCTCTATACATGTATTTGTTTTATGTAAGATCATTTATCATTTATATTTTTCTTTAGACCTGTAATGTACTTCAGAATCTGAGGGATTGATTAGCTGTAGGCTCTGGAACAGTCGTCTAAAACGTTGTCATACAGTGTTATGCCTGAATTTTATAAAAAGCCTTGCATTTACTAACACAGACTATACTTGAAGTGTTTGAAAGTAATTTGTGTTTTCCTCCTGTAGAAAAGCATCACAAGAACAATGTTTAGTGGCTCAATCTATTACAACAGTGTTTTAAAAGACTAAACACATGTGGTCAGAACGAGTCGCAGGTAATGAAGTATTAAGTATTTCTCCAAAAGAAAGGCCTGTCTAAGCAACATGCTAGCAGGCGTCTGTAGCTCCGCTCACACTCTGCCTCTTTGCCCTTTTTTGGTTACCCCTGTTCGGCGTGATGATGCGCGAACAAAATAGCGACAGTTGGCCACGCCTATTTGCTCTCTTCAGAAACCTATGGGTGACGTCACAAACACTATCTTTAATAGTCTGTGGATTAGAGCTGCTGGATTTACAACATGAAAACACCTCAACCTCCCCCAAACTCCATGAAAGTAAGTGACTGTTTATTGTGTGTAAAACGTTTAATCAAAATGTTATAGTTACCTAAACAGTGTGCATCTGTTGTTAATAACACACACTGTCAGATTACATGTAAAATGATTAGCATCGATCCATGGACATCATTGTATATTTTACTAAGCATAAATGTTTTGGTTTGCTGTGTTCATGTATTAAATTGTCTGCAACCCAAAACAAATGTTATACAGCATATGACAGCTATCCAATCACAACACATTTAGTTTTTAAAAAAGCATGTCTTCATCAAACCTGGATCTAATCAAGCCTGTTTTTACCAGGCTGGGGAGAAAGGTATTGTAAAAGAGTCCTTTAAAGGACTGTAAAGAACTCCTTTAAAGATATATAATGTGTAAATTCACCAGGTGACATTATGGCAGAACATTTTCTCCTTAAAACTGCAGTGTTTTAAAGACATACATTTCAATTATCTTTCTATTATCAAGCATTATATTATCTTTAATCTAAACACAGGGCTCTTGCATCTTTTCCAAAATCAAATTTAGGTCCAAATTTTAAACTTTTCCTACACTATACAAGTGTGGAAAATTATATAATTACATACATATATACAAACTCACCAGCCACTTTATTAGATACACCTGTCCAACTGCTCGATAATGCTAATTTTTAGTCAGCCAATAATATGCAAACAACTCGATGCATTTAGGCATGTAGACATGGTTAAGTAGATCTTCTGCAGTTCAAACAAAGCATCAGAATGGGGAAGGATGGTGATTTCTCTGGGGTTTACAGAGAATGGTCCGAACGAGAGGAAATATCCAGTGAGCGGCTGTTCTGTCTTGTAGATGCCAGAGGTAAAAGGAGAATGGCCAGACTGGTTGGAGCTGATAGAAAGGCAACAGTAACTCAAATAACCACTCTTTACAACCAAGGTATGCAGAAGAGCATCTCTGAATGCACAACATATCCAACCTTGTGGCAGATGGGCTACAGCAGCAGAAGACCACACCGGGTGCCACTCCTGCCAGCTAAGAACAGAAAGCTGATCTACAATTCACACAGGCTCATTACAATTGGACAATAGAAGATTGGAAAAACATTGCCTGGTCTGATGAGTCTCGATTTCTGCTGTGACATTTGGTTGGTAGGGTCAGAATTTGGCAAATCTGAAGACAAAAGGGGTTCCAACACAGTACTAATAAGGTGCACCTAATAAAGTGTATACTGTACATTATTACTATACTAGTACTATATTACTATACTGTACTATATTAGATGCTATTTGTTAGAATATTCCATAGGATAGTATTTAAAGTAAAGGTTTTGTCCCAACCCTAACATTGAATAACAGACATTTACTCTCTTTATAACGATTTATTTTAATTCAATTCATCTTTATTTCTATGGCGCTTTTACAATGTAGATTGTGTAACAGCAGCTAACATAGAAGATCATAGAAAATTGAAACAGTGTCAGTGAAGTTTTCAGAGTTTAAGTTGAGTTCAGTGTGGTTAGAACTGAATTAAATAGTATTTAATGTTAAATAGAATGTTACATTTTATTTAAATAGTTAATTATTATTAACTATTTAGTTAGATTAACTGCCATGAATGCATAGCATTTACAAGTTTCATGCACTGTATTGAAATCTAAGCACTTTTCAAACCTTGAAAACACTAGATTCAAATTCAAGTATTTTCAAGGACTCCCAGCACCTGTTAGAAACAGAACTAATGTGTCCCAAAACCTTTTCTATCTTCATTTTTATTAAGAACGTTTTTGTTTTTGTAGAAAAAGGATGTCCAGATCCATGAACACCCTTTCTATGTATAATATTGCATGGTATAGTTGATCTTGATAAGTGTTAATAGTCACAATTGTAAACTTCCTTCTACATGACAGCTTTGTTTGTAGTTTATCAAAGAATGTGACGGCGGTCAGAAATGTTGTGGAATGCATAAAATCAAATGATGACTTTGACACTCCTGAAATTATTTCAGTTTTGTGTGCCTCATATTTCAGACATTCAGAAAACAGTCTATGACTTGTCTGAGGCAAGTATTTATATAAAGTATAACTCCATTCACAGGTGCTGCAAGCTACAGTTTCACTATAGGAAAATGAGTCATTAAGGGGTTTTTGATCTATATACTTTAACTTGGAATTGTGTAGCATTTAATAATACAGTTTGATTGAATGAAACAGACAAGGTCTGAGCTAATTTGCATATATTACTGTAAATGAGGGACATTAGATTTAATCCTTAGGCCTTAAGTCACCTTAAGGCA